TATCTCATGGAATGGGATGTAAGATGTGTCCCCCTGGTAAATACATCAGCCCAGAGTCTGCACCTGGAAAGTCTGAGAACGATTGCAAAGGCTGTCCCCAAGGTCAGAAACAAGATTAAAACCAAACATTTTGTACTACTTGTTATGGTGTCAATACAACAATAAGCATATCCCGGGTGATGCTCTTACTGAGTTAAAATCCTTTAGGTGAATTTAACGGCCCATAAAAATGGCCCTCTTCAAGACGATGACAACATTCTGCTGAGATGGATTTGCCCTTCTTACAACATAAAATATGCGACATTTTAGTTTGTTGTTGGGGAAATTGATGGGTTAATACGACGCAAAAAAAAAAAGTTTAAAAAATAGTGAACAGTTCATGTCCACGTTTTTTATGTGTCGATGATCTAACTCTAAGACTGCTGGTTTTTTCAGGAACCCAATATGACCTCTTTGCTGGATTCAGGGCGTGTTTCTGCATTGCAGGATTTTATCGTTTGGACAGGTTTGGAGCTTGTCAGCCATGCCCATCTGAAGGATTGCTTTGTCGTAACGAGACCGTTAAATTACGGGCTGGTTTCTTCTGGAGATGGGAAAGCAAGAAGAGCCTTGATTTGTACCAGAATTTCACCACAAACTTGATGATATTTAATGATTCGTACAACACAGAACAAGCAACATACAATGGATCTTTTCCAACAGCTTACGCATGCCCTGTTCCAGAGTCGTGTCTTGGAGGAATGGAATCTAAATGTGCCGATGGTTACCAGGGCCCATTGTGCGCAGTCTGCAGTAAAGGTTACTATCGACTTCTTTCAACGTGTCGAAAGTGCCCCACCCTTCCCTGGTTGATTGGTCGAGTGTTCCTTGTAGCTGTAATCTTAGCTTTCGTTATAGGATCTCTTTTAATCGGAAGAAGAAGAAAAAATGAGAGTGGTCGATCAGTCACGGATATTCTATTAGCCCGATTGAAGATCGTTATTGGATTTTATCAGGTCACTTCTGGAACATTAACATCTTTCTCTCACGTAAACTGGCCAGATGCATTGATCAGCGTGATTAACTATGCGCAAATTGTCCAACTCAATTTGTTACAGATCGTTCCTGTTCACTGCTTTAATAATGAGCTCAAAGTAGACACATATTCTACTTTTCTAATGTTCACTACTGTCAACATCTTGGGAGTAGCACTGTTTGTTGTTGTGTATTTTATCAGCAAAGTGTACAACATCAGACGCAGTGACTTAGATGACAAGGGCCTAAAGCGGGCGAATTCTTCGTCAAAGGAACAGTGCTACAGGTGCATTTTCGTACTTTTGTTTCTAACTTACCCCGCACTATCTGCTCAGATCCTTCAAATGTTGCCTGCAGCCTGCCATGAGATTTGCATGGCCGCTCAGGGAAAGAACTGCGAAGCGTTCCTCAGATTTGATTACTCAGTGCGTTGTTACACTAAGAAGTTTAACTCCTATGCGATACTGGTATATATTTCACTGGTATTTGTCGTTGGCTTTCCTCTGGCAACGTTGGTGCTCCTCTGGAGGTCACACTTGAATGACAAAAAAGTTGCTTTAAAACAGCAGAACGTCCTTGGAAAGGCTTTACGTATTGAAGCAGAAGGATTCGACCAGGTGCAACTTCCAACAAATCAGAACGAAGCAAAAGATGACGACCAAGATTTGCCAGGGAATGAGATTTTTAAAGGAATGAGATTCCTTTATGAGAACTATTCGTCGAGTTGTTGGTTCTGGGAGGTTGTGGACTTGGGGCGAAAAGTGGTCCTGACATCAGTGCTTGCTCTGGTAGGAGAGGAGAGCCGCACTCATCTTGGCGTAGCAGCTTTGCTTTCTGGTCTTTACACTGTAGTCTTTGCCTACTACAAACCAGTGACTGATATATTTGAGTACTGGTTACAGCTCGCTTCGCTGTTGGCCACAAATTTAAATATGAGCGTGGGAATGCTGCTGAAGATTCCATCTCAGGCAGCAGTGACGTCAAATGTGTCAAGCCAGTTTGAGTCTGTCGGTGTAGCAGTTCTTCTGGTTGCAAACAACCTTTTTGTTTCCTCAATAATTATCGGTAAGCTAAATTGAATAGTTTGTATATCGGAGCTATAGTTTGTATATCGGAGTGATTTCTCACGCGCTGCATGATTACCATAGAAATGACGAACTGATGGCGAAATTTTTTCTCTCTCGCGCGCGCGCTATTTTCAAAAGTTTCTGGAAATTGATCAACATCAGAGTAAAAAACAAATAGAAAACAAATAGAAAACAATAAATAGAAAACAATAATCCGTAGGTATTAACATTATTATTATTATTATTATTATTATTATTATTATTATCATCATAATTATTATTATTGTTATCCTCATTAAACACTACTTCTGAATGGCTTGCTGGAGTTTTCCTTAAACATCAAGTTACCATTATTATTATTATTATTATTATTATTATTATTATTACTATTGTTGTTGTTGTTGTTGTTGTTGTTATTAGCAGCAGCAGCAGCAGCAGCAGCAGCAGCAGCAGCAGCAGCCGTAGTGGTAGTAGTAGTCCTTTCTGATAACGGGACTAAATCTAAACATATCCTTTCATTCTTCGTAGTACGCATGGGATTCTCGCTGTTTGAGAAGTTGATGACCTTCAAGCAACATCCACAATGCAATTTAGAATGTTGTCTCTCTTTCGTGATGATGATGAACGATGCCTCAGGGGAGGTCAGAGGATTAGAAGATGAAAAGGATTACGAAGTATCTGGAGTTGCCACAGCGATGGAAAATGTGACGTCATTTGAAGTTGACCCTGATGATGAACCAAGTGAAAAGAAGAAAATAAGAAAGGAGCCAGACACTTAAAAAAAACATTTGAAGTTTGATATTGTGGCTGGCTTCTTAGCTAGTGGTCCGCCAGCTTCTGTGAAACTGTTCCTTGATATAACATTTATATGTAATCATTAAAAAAAGGTGCTTAAAAAATATGTTGATAGTAAAAAAAGTACACTAGCTTCAACATGAAAGAGAGAAAGATGTGATTGTTAGCAAAGTCGTTTCCAATTCTTTCTTCTTCCCATTACTAATAGCAGTAATAGCGAGGCCGGAAGGAGGAAGTGACTGAAAGAGAGAGCATGGAAACCAGCTTGTCCCTCTGTCACCATGGGCCAGCACACAAGACCTAAATGTTAATAGCAAAAGCCTAAGACTACATCGGTAGCCGAAATTAAGCAACAGAAGTTAATGGGAAGCTTAGGCCTACTTCAGAGAAGAGGTCAAATCGGGAGCCCTCCTCCCCCTGGTCAAACCTATACGGGCTCCTAACCCATCCTTGAGGGAAGGGGAGGGAGGGAGCGACCATGGCGTCTTTCCAGCTCATCCCTCTTACGTTCTCCTATGTAAGATAACAGATCTTTCGGAGAAGATTAAAAAATTCAAAGTTTTACTGGCAAGATGCTGAATATTTAAGATTTTGATGGCAAGATGTAAAAAATTTAGGTACCCGCTGGAAAGATGTTGCAGATTTATTATCTTCAATATCTTGCTGGCGTGATGTTGAAAATTAAAGATCAGCTTGCAATAAAGATGTTGAAAATTCAAGACCTTCTTTGAAGACTTAGAGAATTGCGTTAATACTCGCTACTCAAGACGCTAAAAGCATTCCTGTAATTTACCTTGGTAGTTATCGCAACAAACCCGCGACGGTGAAGTGTCCATCTCAATTTACATGACTTTTCTCAAAAGGTTTCCGCGACAGCGCTTTAAATTAGCGGTCTATTTATAGAGTGCCAGAAAAAAAAACAAATTAATAAACAAACAAGCAAACATTGACAAAACCAAAATTAAAAAAAACACACACATTTAATCAGCCAATCAGGTTAGAGTGGCAGTAAAGAAGTTGCAAGATCAATTATGCAGATGTTTGTGAACACGGTGAATCTCGCAAGAAAAAGAATCTTGAACTAAACTAGTGGGGGAAGCCTTAACGCTCCGCATTCATTTTGCTTTTATAGCCCCCTTTGAAGGTTTGTGGTGCAAACCGAAATATCGGATAAATATAATTCATTTTCGTTTTCTTTCTTTATTTTTCCTATCACTCTTGCTGCCGTAAGGATCAGTTTACTATTCTAATCTTAACGCTCCGCAACCTTATCCCTTGGGCTTTACCATTTTGGAAGGGAAAAGCCCTGGGAACGAGGTTGAATTCATGGATAATGGACTCCTAGTATTGGAAATTAACCGCGCTCGATGAATTAAGGTATTGGAAATTAACGCCACTTAAATTAACGCGAATTTAGTAGAAACCAACTTTCGAGTAAAGCAAATTAATGTAAAAGAGAGGGTGGCATTTCAAAATGATGGAAATTAACGCGGCATGCACAAAGGAACAAAACTTGCTTGTGTTAAGCGAAGAAATCTGGCCACTTCAAGTTCTTCACAGTTTCGCTGTTGCTGGCGGATCTCCACCGTTATAAAATACTCCTCTTTCTTAGGTGTCAAGAACGTCAGATGGGTATTGAGAATTTGGGGTCAAAAACATAAAAATTACGTTGGCGGAAATTGAGGCTGCACTTAATTGAACGTCGCGGAAATTTAACGTTCACAGAAATTAAGGCGAAATTTCATGAAGCCTTAATTTCCTTTAATAAAGTATTCGATTACACGCCGCCCCCGAAAAACGCCGTTCTCGATCAAACGCCCAGATGGAAGCAAAATTCTTAATAAACGCCGCACCTAAACAGAAGAATGCGGATTTTACTCGAGGATAATGAGAAAAACCTCGGCACAACTTGGTAATGTACGCAATCCAGACATTTACGATTCTATCTCAGCAAAATAAGGGAGACATTGGAACCTTTAAATTACATAATATGTACAAAAGCGAGATATCGCGAGAGTTACGCGCGGAACTTACGCGCGGGTCGTGGATTTTTATGAGAAGCCGCTGCAGAAGATGTAGCAGGTACGTTTCATCAAAGTGAGGCTGGCATCCATATTTGTTGTGTTCATGCATCTCCACGTCACCTCCGTGATTAAAATTTGCTTATTCTTTACTCTGTGGGATTCAAACAAAAATGTTTTTATTCCTCATGAAATAATGGACACCAGTGATTCATGGAGTTTGATCTGATTCGCGCTGCATGTTGAACGCCGAGATGTGCAACCGAAGAAACAAGCCAATATTTCATGGGACCATCTTCCTAGCTCTCGTTGCAGGACTAGGTTACACCTTTTACCTTTATAAATTGACTAAAATAGACTTAGATATCGCTAGAGCAGAGGCGGACAAGCATCTTAAGCAACAAGAGTCGCTATCGTCCCAGCTCCAAGGTTAGTGCAAATGTAAATGTTATTGTTTTCCTTTGATTGTATATTATGTGTGTAAAGAAGTCTAGTTCTTACAAAGTATTACAAAGAACTCTTCAAAAGAAGACTTAATCTAATTAGCTTCAAGTTTGTCTTACAAAACTAATGTCTTGTGCGCTGATTAGGTTACACGGTTTTAATGCGTTATGAAGATTTGACGCGCTGTAAATGAGTGAAACTTTATTCTGTGAAAAAAGTGACTGGAGAAATAAATCTCTTTGTTGTACACCTGTTGTATTTCCACATCTACCTTTTTATTAGCCTCGCAAAAAATATACAGTGACACTAGTATAAAGTGGGCACCGATAGAGCCTTTCTTGGTGTCTGCTTAATTGAGGTGTTCACTAAAATTTAGGTTTGTTTTACTGAAACTTTTGGAAGAAACATTTGAAAAAAAATTGAGCCATTTCATCTGCTTAATACAGGATGTTCACCTAGGTTCCGCTTGATACAAGCGTTACTGTACATTCAAAATTCAGACCGTGATTATTTCTTCCAAAAGGGTTGAATCTCTTTTAGTGGTGTGCTGATCATCAATAAAATAATAATAATAATAATATTAACATTAATGAAATCAGTCATTGACCAAGGTCTTTAACTAATGCAATCATTGATTATGGAAAAATGGCATGTAAACATTTTAAAAACTTGCGTGTTGTCTTTTTAGTGCGCTCATAAAAAAAGAAGAAAGAAAAAAAGAGAGAGAATTTGATAACCCGAAAGCCCAGAAAAACTGAGAGCTCTAGGCGAGAACCAAACTCATGACCCTCCAAGTTCTACTGAGCTACTGGAACTCTATGATAAGCAGGTTCAAATCCACTGAGGTCCCTTTTCTGATACATTTCACATGTTTTTGTTCTGTTCTAAAATATGGTGCAGTAGCTGTTTGATTATATTTGATGATCGATTGGGTGGGTAAATCCAATTATTTCTGAAAATTGGTTATGAAAACTCAGCCGATTCCCAACACTAATCTCTCTACACCTTTTATACCTGTCTCTAACAGCAACAGACTATGACTATGGCCACTCCCACTAAATGAGATGCAGCAAAATTTTAATGTTATGGGTTAGTTAGTGGAATTCCCTTTTTGAATTTGCTCAAGAAGTGTGCAATCTTAAGGGCATAGATTTAAATTACTTTTGATTTAATTAGGTTTTTATGATAGTAATAATATTGTTGTTTTCAGTTGTGTATGAACATCGTGCCCGGCTGGAGAGATCTCTTCAAAAGGAGAAAACAGACCACAAGAGTACAAAGCTTGGTGCGTACTTTGTACTCAATCATAAGTCAAATAGTGTTTAACTATTGTCAGTAATTGGTGTGGTCGCTGTATACGGTCACTTACAAGGAAAAAAAACAAAAGAATAAACTTGAACTAAATTTCTTGCCTCGTAAGTTCTTGTGATTGCTTAAGAAATTTCAGCATTGGTATTTTCTGTGATATTATTTTATAACAGCATTTGAATGAAAAAAAAATGAATGTTTACATAGTGGTTGCTAACTGGGAATGGTCGTTTCTGAAAGTGGTCACTAAGAAAGGGTTGACTGATTGACAATAAAGTTGTTATTATCATGCACTAGCTAACATGCAGCTAGTTAACCTTCATCAAGTGTCCCACTATTGTTCCTTACATTAATACCTTATGCTTATTGAGGTACTTATTGTGTGTAATGATTCATGTTTTACAGAATTTTCCAAAAAGCAGAATGATTTTCTTTTGAATATTACCAGATCAAAGGTGATTGTTTACGTCAAACCATGATAGAAATTTTGACCTATTTTTTTTCCGTCCTTACTTGTCATATAAATTACTTCTTCTTAACAAAAGAATTAATGTTGCTTAATTTCAGCATGAAGCAATGAACAGATTTAATTCATTAGAAACACAGTATAATATGCTCAAGGTATGTATTTAGACATTTTTTGGCAGAATATAGTTTTCATAGTGGTAGGGAAAAAACTATTCTTATTATTTGGGGAGCAAGGGTGGTGTAGTGGTGAGAGCACTCGCCTCCAACCAATGTGGCCCGAATTCGAATCCCGGCATCAACGCCATGTGGGTTGAGTTTGTTGTTGGTTGTCTCCCTTGCTCTGAGAGGTTTTTCTCCGGTTACTCCGGTTTTCCCCTCTCCTTAAAAACCAACACTTTCAAATTCCGATTCGATCTGGAACGCGCGGACACGTTTCAACTAGTTGTTATAAACTCCTCAGTGCTCCGTGGGTAAACAAATTACAATTTACAAATTTACAATTTCAATTTTCTTCTTGTAATATTTTTTTATTGATTTCTTTAAAACAATAAAAGGCATTAATTGCAAGAGATAAATGAAATCATGGATCTCCTTTTAATAATATAAAGAATCTTGTTTAAGATAAAATCATAAGATCCTATAGGTGGGCAGGATCCTGTGTTTAGATCCTATTTAGTGGTCAGGATCCTGTGTAAGATCCTATGAAGTGGGCAGGAACCTGTATAAGATCCTATGAAGTGGGCAGGATCCTGTGTAAGATCCTATGAGATGGGCAGGACCCTCTATAAGATCCTATGAAGTGGGCAGGATCTTGTCTAAGATCCTATGAGGTGAGCAGGATCCTGTATAAGATTCTATGAAGTGGGCAGGATCCTGTATAAGATTCTATGAAGTGGGCAGGATCCTGTATAAGATTCTATGAAGTGGACAGGATCCTGTATAAGATCCTATCAGGTGGGCAGGATCCTGTATAAGACCCTAAAAAATGAATTCACAGAGCCTTCTGTTTCGTCAGCAAGAGTTGTTTCAAATAAATGGGTAACTGATATGACAAAAAAATCCCCCTTGCCTCCTAAAGAAAAAGGGAAGAAAGACCATATGATTTGCTGCTTGAGTAGCATCCAAACTGCAACTGTCATTTGAATGTGCCCAAATTATGCAGTTGCATAACATCACAGGCCTTGTTTAGGGATATAAAGTCATATATCTGCTTAACTGTGAGTAGGAGATTGTTACTCTGTATGCATTTCATTTTATTTGCCTCAGGCACAATCCAAAGAACTTGATGCAGATTATGGTCGCCTTCAGCAAACCTACAGTCGCCTTAGTGCAGAGCACGCTTCAGTGACTAATCAGCAAAAAAGGAATTTTCAGTTATTTAAAGAACAGAAAGCTAATGAAATATCTTCCCTTGAAGGTAGGAATGTCAGAATTTTGACTCCTGTGTTGATTTTAATAACAGAGAAGACATCAGCTTTAGGAATTACAATAAAAAATTAATTATGACTGTATCAATAAATTTTGTGATGCATGTAAGCTAAAGATACAATAACCCATATCAGTACATTGACATAGCTTAACAAAGTGTGTTTATTTTGTTTTGTGTGTACCTTAAAGAGGAAATCAGGACATTGAAACAACAAGTTGTATCACTCAGAACAAATCTCAGGTCCAAGTCGGATGAAGTTGAGCAATATAAGGTGTGTTCCTTGAGATCTGTTACGTATTCATTTACTGAAATTGGTAAAAACGATAACAAATAAAAGAAACATGTTTTTAAAAGTATGAGTACATAAGGGTGTTGAATCAGCATAATTTATTATGTTAGTAAAATTTCTATCGTCTGCTTGGAAGATATGAAACTTGGTTGAGGCTTTATGGGCAGTTTCTTACAAGTCATGATTGTGTTTTGTCACCCAAGACTTTTGAGTTGATGTCTTTATTCACTGGAATGGAGGAATGGCCTGTAGTTAAATGGCGTGAAATGCAACTCAATGATGGGAAAGCACTGGATCAGAGAAACATAATGTGTATACATTTTACCTTCTTTTTTGTTAGCATTCCAGTTCTAGAGCGGTAGCTGCAAGTCAGCAGTACCAGGAGAAACTCAAGGATCTTCAGGGTCAGCTTTCAAGATATCAAGTATGTGCAGTGTACCTTCACTAAAAATTTGCTCAGCAATACTCAGTTCTGGTATACAGTGTATATGTTGTGGTTCAATTTTATCCTTGGTTCAAATTTTCTTTCCTTTTGTTTCAAACTAATTATCATGTTATTATCATACATTACCATACCCAAAAACAAAAGAAAAGAAAATTGGAACCAAGGATAAAATTGAACCACAACATATATACCTGATTGCAAAAACTTTGTTGCTTCAAAAGTATATTGTCACAAGCTGCTCATGTGGATGCAAATCCCTAGAGTACTTTGTTTAAGGCTACATGATGGTTTCTTTTTATTGTCTTCTAAGTAAGCTTCAAGGTCCTATCGTATAATTTTCAATTGTGCCTCAGCAGTATGGCTACACTCTGTAGAGATTTCTGATGTGCCCTGCGCAGGCGAAGTTGTGAGCTTATTGGCAAGAATTAAAACTGGAAACCATGAACTTTTCTGAAATACACCGTTGCAAAAGGCTTTGATGACCTAAACTTTTCTGGAAAGAAACTTAAATTTGCAGTGCTAATTAAGTTCTACCCATAAATCCACTAGGTCCCATTGTTCATGGTTTATACTTTTCATGCAATAACATTTTTTCGATCAGGTATACCAGTATCCTATGTGATTTCATGGGAATACTTTGTCCTTACCATAATAATACTGGATTATTTCTGTTTTATTGCCTAGGAGAGGCTTAGCAGCTATGTTAGCAGGTCTAAAACATCTCACAGAGACGTGAAACTTGACAAAAAGAGGGAACAAGGACAAGAAAGCAAGCTTCAAGGTGAGGTGGATAGATTCTATCACTTTATAGTTCCTTTCTAGAATTACTTAACAAAATGACAATGGTTGTCTTTACACTAGGCCGTTAAGTAAGACTTCAGAGCTGCTAAGTTTTACTTAACCAAAAATATGTGTGTGAAGGCCTAAGTAAAATCTCAAGTTATTTTACTTTGCATCTCATTAAAGTTGGAAATTTGAAACGATTCAAGAAAGTTTCAAGTGACTTGAAAACCATCCTTAAAATGACTTAGCAAACTTGCGGTTTCTTGAGCTTTGAGAAAGGCGAATCATGTCAATCAATCTTAATTACATGTATGATGAGTGGGAAAATAGCCTTAAGTTAACCTGAAGTAGAAAAGAAATGGTTGTGTGTGTGAAGCTTCCTTTTACTTGAAGAACTTTTAATTTTACTTGTCTTGAAATATTTCTTAGCTTATTTAGGCTCTAGTGTAAAGACTACCAATGATACATAGTCTAGCCTTAATTTATCGCCATTTTACTGCAAGTCTGATCTTGTCATTTTATTATATGTTGGAGGTGTTAAGATTTCTCTCGCTTTACCTACAGAACTCTCCATGGGTCTTTTAAATCACTGTTTCTTAGGAATTGTGTATTACTATTTCTTTATAGATGCTTTGAGTCCAACGACAATAAAAAGTAAAGATGGACAAGAAGGCCAGCACAAGAAAACAGAAAAGTAATTATAATTATGCCTGACTAATTAACTAATGTAACTAACTAACTAACTAACTAACTGAACTGACTAACTGACTATCTGACTGGATGACTAACTAACCAAATAAAGCCTTATGGAATATACAGTTACTGGTAATCCTAGTTGTTAACATTGTGACTCAAAAATTATGACAAATTGTTACATGTAGTTGCTGGCAGATTGAAAATAAAGTTGGTTTCAGACATGATCTGTTAGACCGTGTTTATGTCTCGCTCCTAGTAAACTTCCTCCAATAGCAGAGTACTAAAGTGATGATGTCATAAAAATTAATTTCTGAATTAAGGGATTCATCAAGATATTCTGAAAGAACAACGTCCAAGAAGTCTACTTGCCAAAAATGAGCATTTCGGGGCAAATTGTCTGTGAGATATTAGCCCAGTTATGCACTGATAACTCCATACAAATCCCTCCAAATTTTTTTGGGTTGACCCCCAAAAAAATTTCGAAGGGTTTGTATGGAATTGCAGACCACAAATATCATGATGAGACAATGCAACAAAGAATAGTTTTGGAGAGAACTCTGCATTATTGAATAACTAAACATAGGGTAGCATACTTGAATGGTTTAGGCTATGTTCACACTGTACAGTATAGCTTTTTGTGTCTTGACTATAAACACCTATCCAATATATGACTCTCTACCTTAGAGATCAGTGCCTGGCATCTTTGCTCCATTACAGAAATTGTGCCAAAATCACTGTTTTTACGTGTGCACAGTAGCCCTATACAGTATGGTTTTGGTGCCAGGGCAAAAACTATCTGATAAAGTCTGAACATAGTCTTATTTGTTGTAAAACAATAAATTAATAAATTTGATTTATACAGCCCCACAGTCCCCTTTAGAAATGACAGTAGACTTCATCATGATCGCTCTCGTCGTGAGGTTAATGAACAAGTCGCACTGCCAAGTGATAATAGTAAGTCATGATTAGTTCTTAATTTAATCGTCTGTTAGAAATCCTGCTCTTTAGATTATACTGTACATCGGCTGCCACTATCAAACCTGCTAGTTGAATTATTATATATTGTACTTGCTATCTGTATTGGCTAAGAGCCTACAGTTAATTTTGCTTGAAATGAGAAGATAACTAACTGATGTGTAGGCTGTCTGCACAAATAATGCGTGATTCCCAAGAGCAATGTCTTCTCTGTTTGGAGAATAAACTGTGTTCAGTGTGACAATGAGTTTGTTGGTATTAATTTCAAAACAACCAGTAACAAAACAGATTAGTAGATTCAGTTTTTGTGATATCTGGAATAATCAAGGTCTTGGTATTAAGGTGTTTTGCCTCAGCAGATAACACTTATCTTGAACTGTGAATGTAACGGCAAAAACTTCATCCAATAATTGTTTACAATTGGTTACACATCAACTGACTTACTATGATGTAACCTGTTAGTCTCTGTTTATCCTGCTACTTTCTAAGGTAAACATAACATTGATAATCAGTGAATCTTTTTTCTCTTAAAGATGCAGATAATGCTGATATGAGGAAATCTCCTGATGAGAATGTTTATGAACAAAGAAAGGTGAAGGAAGGTTACACAGCGGAGGAGAGTTATGACAGCATGAAGAACATTCCTCTAAAAGACTCCAATGTAAATTATGGTGCACAACAGGCAGGGTATGGAGTGAAGGTGGTGTCACCAGGTGATGGCAATGCTATGAACAAGTGGGCTGATATTCTAAAGGTATTTGCTAACTTTGTGCGGCCCTGTTTAAAGTCTTGTCATAAATTTGTTCAGCATTGGAGCAAGGTCGTAGGTGAAGCAAATAAATAATTTAAGTTTTTGTTCAGATTAGTGCACCATGACTAATGCTCTTATGATGCAGTGTATGTGAATAAATTTATCATTGACCAGTTGTCATATTTTACCTGTCCTTTCACCTTATATCAGCTTGTATGTTGAGCATTTGGCAATTTGCATAATCACCAAGTGATGGCAGTACGTTACTGAGCATCTGTATTCTGCATGTGAAATAATTTTTGACCCCCATTAAGTGCAAGATAATACTTAACTAAACCAACACATTTGCTGAGGATGCTGTTTCTGAAAACTGAACATTGAAGCTTTTATTGATGCTTGATGAAAGAATTTTTCTCGTTTCTTTTTTTACCAGCAAGCAGCAGAGCAAAGTCGCAGGGAAGGCAATGTAGGAGTTAGTAAAGAATTGGCAGGAGAGACTGAGCTAGGGAAAAGCAGATTAGATGACTATCGTAAACAGGAGACTGTTGCTGCTGGAGATAATGATCACAGACAGCTTGGTGAGGAAGAGGTGAAAGATAAACAGGATGGTGAGCCAGTGGTAAATCAATACAGTGATGCAGATAGAATGCAGGCTGGCAAACCTGTGGTAAAGGGAGGGCAAACTGATGGGCGTAGCATACAGACAGACCACGTGGTTGATCGACCTGGAGAACAGGGAGACCAACAGAAGAATGATCATGTGCTGCAGGCAGGTCATGTGGCTGATAGACCAGGTGAACAGGAAGACCAAGAAGGAGAAGAAGAACAGGAGGAGGAGGGAGAGGAGGAAGATCTTAAAGAAGATGGAGCTGCTGATATATCACGTGACAGTATCAACAGTCAGGTTGCTGAAATGAGAGAAAACCACCAACAGCAGCAAGAGAAACAACGGGGACAACTTGAAGGAGCCCAGGTACAGCAACATGTGGCTCCCATACAAGCTGTACAGAGACAAGCGGAAGAACAGAGAACACAGGGGGCAGAGTTAGCCCAGGCATACCAACGTATGGCTCCCATACAAGCTGTACAGAGACAAGCGGAAGAACAGAGAACGCAGCGGGCAGATTTAGCTCAGACACAGCAACATGTGGCTCCCATACAAGCTGTACAGAGACAACAGGAGGAACACAAGGCACAACAGGCAGATGGTAGGCTTCTTAAATTTTCATATATTAGTTGTTTCAGTATTTATTTCTAGGATTACTCCATGTCTCTTTCGTTAGAGCTGTGATCACAGCCAGAGTTTGAAAGAGTGAAGAGTACAGTGCAATATTCACAGTATCCTATTTCCGGTGCAGTTGTCGAGACGGGAGGCCGTTATCTTGATTTTAGATTTTTCTCGCCATATGAAATAAAGATGCCGTCTTTTTATTTCGACATTGATGAAAGAAAAAACTGCCAACAGTTTATAACTGATGTTCAGGTTTTTAAGTATTATTCAGTCCATCGTCAGTGATGAGTACAGTACATCTTATAGCCACGCTTCGGTCAGTTTCAGTTTGGCAAAAATTTTTATGTTTTTAAAAAATGTTTGAAATGTGTCTCTGAAGAAATGCAAATAATTTTATTGTTTCTTGTCATTCATATGCTCATGAATGTGTTTGGATTTAAAAGTTATTTGATGTTTTTGTTTTCTGCAGCTGATGATGAGGATGCAGGAGATGATGGAAATGAACAAGAAGCTGATCCGGATGAGAAAGATCCAGATGACGCGGGCGAAAAGGAAGAAGAAGAAGAAGATCAAAACTCACGGCAGCATCAGGTTCACTATGGTGACAGGACACTCAAGGGTGCAAATAAACAATAGAATGAACAACAAGTATAGCGAACATTAATTACAAAAATCTCTAGTCTGTAGCGAGCAAGTCCAATATCACAGTTTAAAACTAGAAATTTGGACACATCCGTAACACAAGTGACCATTTGCTAGTGATGTCATTATCCAAGCTACACGAGTTACACATCCTCCTGACAACCCTTGGTTTCTGTAAATTGGTGCGTGACTTCAGTATTACGGTGCCCATGAAATACTTTTATGATATTTCAGGAAAAGTCAGTTTAGTGGCCAATAGTTTTAGGTGAATAGGTCATTTGCAAGATGACGTCATTTTACTATTAAGACCAGAATCCTTCAGGCTTTTGCTTTTGCTATTTAAACCTCGCCGGGATTACTAAATTAAAAAACGAAAAGGATTCTGGTCGTAGTAGTTAAATGACGCCATTGTGCAAATGGCCCATTGAAGGCACAACGGTCAATGGTTTGTTTTCGTGATTTGTTACGTAATGGTCGTGTCGTTCAGTGATGACGCATACACTATTGTATTTTTCAAATCGTAGCAGCGAAGTCAAAGAGAAGTCAATAATTAGGTTTTAGCTACAATTCAGGTATAATGCTCAATATGTCAGTGAAATAATTATGATTACACCACGGTGCAAAGCATATTTTTAGGTAGGAATATTCGCGGCTTTTCAAGGATGCACAGACAGAGTTATGGTAAGCTCTTATTAAATACTAGAAAGCGGATACGAAAGCCCCACTTAGAGTTAAGATTTTTCATCACATTTTCTAGGGTATTCATCAATACGTTATATTTTTAGAAAGCTCTAGGTTCTAGCAAGAGAAAATAATGAGACCAACTTCCGATTAATTCAAGCGTTTAATTGGTCTAAAAATAACTTTGGTGAAATTCACGTACGGGGCGCCCAAGGGCTCAATAGACTGCAGGGCGTTTCCATCTTACTCCTACTATTCTCTCTTCGTGCTAGTGTTTAATCTTTGATACTTTTGCCAAAGTTGGTCACCAGGGATGATAGAGCCATTTATTAGAGAGTTTAAGCGTCACGTATAAGACAAACGTCAGGTCCAAGTGGAGAATTTCTCAAAATAGAAAATGAGCAGATAAAAACAGTTCAAAACAATTCTTATGGATAAAAAATTGCGTGAAACTACTAATTTATGTGTAGAAATAATGAACCGTAAACAACAAGTAACGGGGAAACTTGGTCACGTGGAACAAATTTGCGTTCGCCGTTTGACGTAAACGTGATGCTTAACCTCTCTATTGGAATTCATTGCAAGCAATTTAGAAGTTACTACAATGTAGCGTATTGTAGAAAGTAAACAACAGTTATATAGACGAATCAAAACGTTTTTAGGGAAAGATCATAGATTAATTGAGTATTTATATTTACAAAATTGAATAAAAATCTCCTCGCGTTGTAACATCAATAGTATCACAGTTTTGTGAGGTAGTATGTTGGATTTCACTAAAATGCGAAAACACGTCGGTATATTTATTGCTTAGAAGTATTTCGATGCTTAAATAAAGTTGCATATTTATTCCTTGTCGGTGCAGTTTATTTCCCTCTTCTCTTTGATTTGTAAATAAAGTTTTTTTAACAGGAGTTTTTTTAACCATTATCTATAAGCATGGGGCTAGCCGCACACGCCGCGCACTGCTGTAAAACCAAAGAGGGCTTTAAAGGTACTAGAAAGAGACTCTACGCTCAACTGTCTGTCTTTTCTTAGAAAGAAGTGAAAATATTTCACCAGAAGAAAATAATTTGTTCATTTATTTAATTTTCTTTCACGAAAGCACGGCTTTATACACAATAACTTTCGTTAACAGTCAGAGTCGAACCAGATCAACCTGAGTTCAAAATCGAATACGTACACCGTTGTAGCCACTAGTACGCCACAGGTTTTCAACACTTGGTCGTTTCAAGTCGCGAATCCTTTACTTCGCGCTCCGCCGAAGTAATAATCGAGTTACTAAAAGAATCTGGGGATAAGCTTGACCTGGTTTGACTATCGACGACGTTTTAAATTCTCACCCACAACTTATTCTTTATAAAAATATGAATATTCTCCCACCCAAACGTCTCGAAAAAACAGAAAACAAGTTTGTCTGATTCGATCTATTTTGAGAATCATGGGGAGGGTTAGAGTACACCTAATTTTTCCTTGGGATATATGCACAAGCGCGCGTGAAAATCAGCCTTGAGAAAAGGCTTCAGGCGAGGTTTGAAAGGGACTACTAGTACAAAGTTAGCAGTTTTTTCTCTAAAAAGACATTCCACATCGTTGCATATGCGTTTTGAAAACGCTTACTACGCATTTTGAAAAGACAGTTTTGAAGCTAAGATCGTTCTAAATCGGACCAACAATAAATTGAGATGCTGGAAGATTCTTATTACAACAAAGATACTATTTATATGAAAATGTGTATTACAGTGGAACCTCTATATAAGGAAGTCCTCGGTCTAACCAACTATTCTTTTCGACTCCAGTAATAGTAAACATAAGGCAAGATGAAAAAGAACCTCGATATAAGTTAACGAACGTCGTGATAACGAACATATTTTGCCAGTCCCATGGCCCTGCGTTATTTTGAGGTTCCACTGTACTTAATTTTGTTTATTTATTTTTCAAAAAGTAAGGGGGGGCTTCCCCAGCCCCTTCCGGTCCCCTGCGCGGGCGCTACTTTGAAGACTGCATCGGTGGCTCACGGGCCGGGATGACTGGGAAACTAACAATACCGTTAAAAGATCACCGACGCAACCACCATTTAGCTTAAATACTTTTACGAGCAGCATTACGTAATGGCATTTTTTTACAATTTGATTAAAATCTAGAATATATCGTTAGTAACGTGAAGGTCACAATTCTCTAATCTGATCTTCCAGTAGTTTTCTATATTGATCGAATCCGCCATCCTGTTTTATGACTGAGCCATTAGAACACATCCAAACTTCTTTACACACGCTTCTTACAAGTCTTTCATCGTGTGTTACCATAATAACTCCACCCTACAAAACAAGGAAAAGTGGTGACACCTTTTTAAACCTCTTACTCGACGCCTCAGTGAGCATATCACAATTAAGACAGTCTCTAATATAATGTCGCTATTAGTCCTGCTCAGTAACAAACACCAGCAGTACGCTGTCGAAACGTTGCGATCCGGCAATAAAAAAAGTGATTATCGTGAAATAAACGATAAACGAGCCCATAATCTCTAATATCTGTGTCACAGAACAGAAAGGCGTTATAGGTAGAAAAAAATAATAATAACGACAGCCACGACAAGGCCAAATCTATGATTTGACCCAATTCGTGAACCCATAATTATACAAGGTTTGTATCAAGAATGGAGAAGTGTGATATCTGGGGTACACAGAACGGACGTACACGGGAGCCGCCTTGATTCATGACTCCCTGTGCAATCACATCATAATTACCTTGTAATTGTTCAAAGCGATTCCAAGAGCTTCTATTGTCTCTACATCTAAATGATTTGTCGGTTCATCAAGGATGAGAAAATGAGGCCTACGAAAACAAATAACAAATATCTCAGATAAGAACGAAGAATGGGAATGCACCAAGCAAAAAATAGATAACAATAGTTTTATAGCACGGATAATAAAACCTGTTTTAAGGTCGTTACCGCAGCAAGACTAACTCAGTCATTAGAACGCTTAACTGCAGAGCGGGAGTCACGGGTTCGAGTCCTGGGATGGGACCAACACTTAGCGTCTTACAAAAACTGAGAACTAAAGGTACTATCTTTGTCTTCAACAGAAGTCTACATATCTACCCAGTAACATTGATTTACCAAAGCCATAGCTAAATTTACAACCACGTGAACGTTTTCGTTCTATTTAGTAATTTAAGAAGTATCCCGGGAGTCAGTGCATGTACCTTATCATACTCATCAAAGCCATAACCACTCGACTTTTCTGACCACCTGATAAACTCCTTACAGGTCTAAGAGCCAAGTCATTTATTACGCCGTATCTGCCCAGCTGGCGCCGATATTCTTCCTCGTGCTGTCCTGTGGTTAAATACACATTTTTTTAAAATTACGTACTGGTAATCTTTCTTTTTACCTTATCCATGAGATCTACCACTGAGACACATTACCGCAATACAATACAATACAGCATTTACCGTTCCCACGCAAGGTTTCTTTGGGTTGAAAAGAAATTTCAAAGACAAGAACAGATCTATCTATCCACTTATTTCAGGCGGACAAGGGTGGGGCTGGCATTTAGAGTTCGTCTTAAATAGGTTCTGCTGTACAGAGAAAATGACCGCAGAACAAAAAGGAACAACACTAGCCGTACGATTTATAGAGGTGTCGTTTAAGAGAAAGTTGAATGACGTTGAATGACTTACAGCTCAAGGCTTATACGGGGTGTACAAGCAACTATTGGCGTGACACTAACCCTGTTTAACCTCCTTCAGTTTACTTCTGAGACTGGATCATGGGACATTTTTTGTTTTGTAATATCATTACCAAGATGAGACGCACTGATCTGACTTACGTTTTTCCAAACGTACCTGGGAATTTTGAAGCTATTAATTCCAGCGGAGTTTGTTCTGAACCGAGCTGATCCACGTGATGTTGACTGAAATAACCAATCTTTAAATTTCTACAAAGTGATAACAAAGTCCCTCGTTAGTACCACATTACAAATTAAGGAGTTTGTCAAAAAAGTTTACATTTCTAGATTTCTACACATCACAGGTGCAAAAGAACAGCAGTGTCCTCTGGTTGTATAATCATAAACATACATGTTTTGGAGTCAGGCTGGAATTCATTATAAATGTACAACGCAAATTAAACCAATTGTTACCTGTGAGAAAACTTTAGACCGGAAACTGGTTCCAGTTCACCCAGCAAAAGCTTTAGTAATGTTGTTTTCCCCTGACCATTTTCACCGACCTACAACCAAAGGAATGTAACTAAAGCGTTACCAACGTAACTTAACATATGTAAAACAATCTTGCCAGTGTCAGGAAAATATAACTAACTGGGGTTTCCCCCATTATTGTGAGTAAATAGGTGTGATCGAATAATAAAATTAAAAGAAAAACCAACGAGACTTCATTGAAAGACACAAATGTTAAATTTTCGGCAATGTACAGTTGATAAGGTTCAAGCGTAAACTATAACTCTCGTAAGAAGATTGTTAACTTACCAAAGCAATTCTAGAGTCCTGATTTGCAGACAGACTAACTTTATTGAGAACAACTTTTCCTTTTTCATAGTGGAAGGTAACCTGTCCGAAGGAAATAAAGTGTTTACTTTACGTGACAAATTGACTACCTTCTAAAACGTTGTCAAAAGAATAATTTAAAAAATGAGGCTAGTTATCTCTATACCTCATCGAGTTGTAAAACTGGTGGAGATAGCTTGTCACATTCAGGAAACCTTTAACACAAAACAAAAAACGAGAGACATTAATAAACTCATAAACTGATCAATCTCTAATATCTTGTACCAAAGGAGAAATGAATACAGCAGCTAATTCAGTTGTATTCTGAAATTGGTGTATTATTGAGGTCAGATGTGAGGGAAGGATCAATTTTATGGTTAATTTTTTAATGAACAAAAAGCTGTAAAATTAAATTTTAGTATATCATAATTGAACACTTTTTGCTAGTGCTAGGTTTACTAAGCTTGTCATTTCAATCAAACAAGCAAACAAGTAAGCAAGCAATCAACAACCAACTGACAATCACACAATCAAATCAATAAAAATAAATAAACAAACAAACAAACAAACTAGACTTACTTAAGTACGACAGGTGGATCAACTACAACAGGCTGAAGATCAGGCCTAAAGCAAACAACAACAACAACAACTGAAGACCTTGCAAAACTTGGGTATAACAAAGAAACAAAATAATCGCAAGAGAAGTTCTAAGTTCTTCATTTAAAAGATATTGCATTGCTTCTTGTTGCTAACGACTTACATTCACTAAGGGTTCAAGTATGTGTTTTTCCTTTTTGACTCATTACCATGCCCTCAGACAAACTAGGGGCTCAAACAATCTTGAATTCCAGCTTGTCCTTTGGGCAAGCAGCTCTCCCATTTTACTTGACCGGGGCAACTTCTTGCTCGTCTTAGTTAATGATTTTGTTCAAAGATGAGTTGGGCAAGTGAACTTTTAAAGTTACTTAGTATCCATCAAGAAAATCTACTTGTTCCGGACGACTGGACAGTACTTACTTTTCCAGCCCTGGTTGTTACTGTTCAAGGTAAGGTAAGGCAAGGCAAGGCAAGGGAAAATGCGCCTTAAGAAAATCAAAGGAGTAATTATTTTCCCCATTATCAGGTTATCATAACTTTTTGTAGTACATGCATATCAACCTACAGTTTCTCCAGTGCCTTAAGTCTGCTTTGTGCAAGAGAGGCTCGTTTTGCATTATATCTCCATCTATCAACAAAAGCCTGAAATATAAGTAACTGGTGTTAACATTCACAACCTTACCACACAGTGTTACAAGTGATAACTTGGAAGGTGTTGATAGAGGACGAACCTGTAAATGTTGTCTGTGCATTTGCTGTGCCTCATATTCACGCTGTTGATTGGTTAGCTTTTCTGTCATGGTTTTGACAAAATTCTGAAATCAAAAATTACAACAACTAGTGTTGGACATATCACACAGAACAAAATCAAGTAGTTTTAGTATACTCTATGTGCATACACTGTAACATGTAAGGTTGCCAGATTTATCTCCTTGAATTGAACAGTTTGGAAACAAACGTGATCTTGGGTTCTGACCTAAGTTGTCTATAAAGATGGAACACCACTACTTGGCCTTATTTCCATTCATTGATAATGGTGTCATGATGTTGCCGAAAGTCGGAACATTATTATGTTAGTTTTTACATGTTTATGTTTCTCCAAATCATTATTAATTATTCATAAAATTTATGACAGTTATCTTGAAGACTCCGGTGGTCAGAACCACTGTATGTACTGTTTGTCAGCTTTCTTTGCTCCACTAAGCACATGTTTGTTAGGATTCCACCATCCACAAAAACCATAAATTATGCTCATAAGAAATCATACCTCATAGTTTCCTCTGTATGATTCCAGTCTCTGTGAGTGCATGTGAATTATATCAGTGGCAACTGCATCAAGAAATGTGCGGTCATGAGACACAACAAGCAGAGTGCATGGCCAATTCTGCCAACAAAAAAATGTTAATGATTTTAAACTTGAAAGACTGAACAATCACTCAATTGAAAAGGACAAAATTTCCATTTGAAAATAAATTTTCAATTTACAATAAAGATTGAAAAACATCATTGAAGCTCAACCCCGCACTCACAGGATTATTACGGAGCTTAATCACAGGCATTTTTGAGTGATGCACATTGACAAGAAGTGAGTCCTTTTCCTTTGTAATATGCCTTAATGCTACCAAATTTGTATTCACTAAGTTTCTGTTTCCAGCAATGACTTCTCAACAGGGTCAAGGGTAGAAGTGCTTACTAAGTTGTGGGATCATGAACATATACATTTGTCTGAATTCATTAAAACGTGGCCACTAGGTTTTTGCCTAGTGCTGGGCACAGCCCAGCTCCAGGAGACCAGTGCAGTCTCCAAAAATTTATTTATTTACAAACTTCCCCAAGAGGCCTGGAAACCTCACAGAGTAACGCTCCAGTATGAGGTCCAGAAATTGAGGGCCTTGCTGTTTTGGGCAGCACAGGAAGATAGCCTAGGGGCAGCCCTAACAGTGCATGAGTGGTCTGAGACTCAGTGAAACTATGTTTACTAGTACATAAAATAATTCAGTAAGACATGTATTAACATTTTTTATTTATGAACTCAACACACATTTAACTCACCAGTAAATACTTCTCCAACCATAATACAGCTTTAAGATCCAACATATTTGTAGGTTCTATATGATGAAAAATTGTACATTAGCATTGTTAAGCAAATCAAATTTACAAAAACCAATGGCAGAAAAAAGAGATTTCTTACCATCAAGAAGAAGCAAATCTGGTCTGCAAGTAAAAATAAGGTTTAGCGTAAAAAATATTAATACTCATAGTATATGATGTCCAAATAACATCTGAATAAAAAAATAATTAAATTTCTAAGGAATCCTACCACACTGCATACATGACTATAGTAAATGATATGATGTATAGTAAATGATGCATTTAATTTGTGAGTGTAAAAGTCTCTTACCGACTAAACAAAGTTCTCGCAAGGGCAAGTCTCATTCGCCATCCACCTGAGAGTTCTCTGCAAGTAACACCAAGGAAAAAAGGAAATAACCGTAAATTCTCTATTAATGCCCCCACTCAAATAAGCCCCTCCCTCCAACAAGCCCCCCCCGTCCCCTCCCCTAATTATTCTTCACTTATAAATGATAGACTTATATAAATCTATCACGACTGTAAAACTTTGTGTCGACTGATCCGGGATGGTTCATTTACCAACTGTAATTTCAGATTTGATTCTCATCCTCGGCAGTATGACCTACAACCTTCTTTTACTTCTTGTACTTTTCTGCTTTGTATTCTAGTTCTTTGTGGAGATATGATACCATGATACTAAATAAACAAGTCTTTTCTAAATAAGCCCTTAAACAAGCCCTCCCTCAAATGAGCAAAATAAGCCCCTGTCTCTTTATTAAATCAACCCTGGTAAAATGGGCTTTTGAAAGTAAACTATAACCAGCATCAGTCTTTCTTTGACTAGTTTGACCACAGTTAATTGCTCTCCATTATGTACCTTGTACCCATACAATGTTGCACTGTGTAAAGAAGTCAAAATTATTGTGCACCTTGTTTGCTGATGCTGCATTTTTGTTGAGAATCCCAGTCCAGCCAATATCATAGAGGCTCTGAAATAATAAAATTTTCATAACTATTTGTCTAATGATTACTAATCATCTAGTTATTTAACTTATAACTACAGGAGGGGTTTTGTCATTAAAGAGGTCATTAATTATCCTTGGTTTTCAGAAGTCACAAATCCCCACTAGACTTTAGATTCTATATATGCCATCATCCTCTCCCTTAAAATATATGTTGAAATCACAAGGGAAACCTATCACATACAGAAATGCAGAGAGAAAAAATGGGTAAAAATGTTTTTCAATAAATGGGCAAGTGTTTGCGGAAATGACCCCTCAATCAGGTCAAGGGTAGTAGTGATAACCCATGAGCAAGAAACTAAAATACCTCTGAAAGGTCACTTAGACTTAGACTTAATGGGAGAGTTTTTCATTATTACTATCAACCTTGCTGGAGCTTTATCTGCTTCAATTTCTTCCATTCTTGCATACACCTCCAAAGAAAATAATCAAAAAATATTAGTGATTATTGTTACCACTTTCCAAGTCAAATTAAAAAAGTTTTATAAATATGGCAAGTTTAAGTTCTTGATAATTTTGGCGAGCAGGCAGTAAGACATTCAAAACTATCATAACCAAGGGCAGAAATTTCTATCCTCCTTTAGGAGCTTTCATTGCTTTCCACTTAAGATTATGGTGTCTCTGCAGATAAATTACCCTGCCCAGTCAGAGGAGAGCTTTGTCCTTCCTTTTCAAATTTGTGTGCCTTCTTCCCATTAAGGAAATCTCAACTAACAGTATTTGCATATTCAAGTAACAAGTGAAGAATAATTTTCTCAAATCCAAGGGAAAGACCAGTATGTTTCATTGCACTGGGAAACATTGTGTTTTACCAGTTCTCGGGGTTTAATGGTCAGGTTGAGCAATGTATTTCATACCTGTGCCAATTTATTGCTGGCATCATCAGCAGTAGAATCTGCTTTTGAGCTGAAAAAAAAACAAAACAAAACAAAAACAGTGTAACCAAATTTAACTCCAGAACCACTGCTGACACCAGGAGAAGAAAGTCCTCTAGAAGCAAAACGTTGAGAGTTTTCCCAGCCATCTGAAAGCCATCATAACCACATGTGTATTCTCAGTATTAGCTGGGAAGTATAATCACTGTGTACACTGACTGATGTACAGCTGTAGGCTGTCATCTGGTGCCAGGTTGGGATTATTATAGATACTGACTGTGACTCATTTTTAACAATTGCAACAGCGATTCAACTCCTTTTACATATATAGTGTTAGTCAGAACTTAAGTGGAGACAAATCACGTCATTTAAATATGCCATAACTTCTTCATTAGCTAAAACTTGCATTGTCTGCCACTATAATCATACATGTATCCTAGGGAGAGACCAAGTGGCAAACAGTAATAGCAAACCAGATTTTTTTCAGTCCTTTCCACCACTCTTTCAACACCCTTTAAATTCCTTATCATTAAGATGACGCAAATCACAGTCATCATCAAAATACAAAATAAAAACTTAAAAATGCAATGCTTCCAACATATGATTGACCAGTACATAGAACATGTTAGGGGACCTTGCAAGACCAAATGGTAAATGTAATAAGAGTTGGTTCTCATGGGCCACCTCAACCTTACGTGTATGTCTGTTTTATACTTGGCACTGGCTTCCCATCTTAGTATTTCAGTAATGTGTAAGCAGGCTCCTTCAATTGAACACAGACTAATATATACCCACAGACCTAGTCCCACTAGAATCAATGCTTTATAATGGAGCCCCATAGCTATGAAAATTTGGTTTTGGTAATCACATGACCTTACAAACACCCACACAAGCTTTGCCTTTAGTCTTATAAATTTCTACATCATTTCAAGCATGTTCTTTTTCTAATGGGTTTGCTACCTACATAGAGAAAATAACACTGCTTATAACATGTTTGATTACAATAAGTACAACATCCAGAGATATACCTTCCATGTCCTGTAAGTGCAAGAAGTTTCTTTTCTTCTTCTAACAGTTTTTTTCTCTCTGTGTCACATTCTAAAACACTCTGAAGAACTTGTGTCTCATCCCCTCGTACCTTAAATGTTGTAAGTACAATAAAGGTAAAAATGGGTGGTGTTTAGACCTTAAAAAATTACCAGAATTATCCTAAATTTGAAAGAAAATCAAAATTAATGTAAAATACATGACTTACCTCCTGTTCAACACACAAAATAGAAATATGTGATGGAACAAATAATTCACGCCTGCAAGAAAAAATAAACCTTTTAAACAACCTGTTTATTGTGTTTGGAGTTTTAGAGACAGCAACAATCTTTTTTAAAGAATAATGCTTTTACAAATGACACAAGGCTTTAAACACATGTCTGTGGAAATCATAACTCCTGCAGATCTTTTTTGTCAAAAGACTGCCTTTTAGGGCTACTGATTCCTCTTGCAAACCAATAAAAACACTGATTTTTTTAACAAGAGACACTTCATGTCACTCGTATAATTACCTGGAAAGCATTTTGATCAGTGTTGTCTTTCCAATTCCATTTCTTCCAACCAGACCATATCTCCTACCAAAGATGAGGGACATTTCTGCTTCTTTTAATAAAACCCTGAAATAGAATTCACAGAATGAAACTCTGAAAGCTACAGGTACAGTAGTTAAAACCCATAGTATTAAAATTCAAAAACTATTCAATTTGTTGTTTTTAGCACATATTTTGCTCATAGAAAGGACAAGCTGAAGTTTAAGTTCTTTTTTCAGCCCTGTTTATTATATAAGTTGACTCCCTCTTACTAAGGTGGACACCCAGAGTTGGTCCCTGCCTTTCTTTACTCTCTTTATTTGACTGTCTATAAGATGGACATCTCTTTAAGATGGACACTTAGTGCCTCTCCCAAGGGTCTCTATCTTCAAGAGAGTTGACTGTACATTCTAATTTCTAGGTTCAAAACATTCCCTTAAGTGACAACACAGTTTCATGAAGCTGAAAACCATTACCTGTCTGCATAAGAGAGGTCAAAGTTCTCTATCCTGACATCACGGCTTTTGTTGGAACCACTTTGTTCTAGTTTGTTTTCTCTTTTGTTGGAACTCTGGCAGGCTGATGCATTGTCTATTTGCCTGTTTTAAGACATGACACATTAATATTTTTACTTCATGGGTAGTTGGCATAATAATATTACTGCATTGAATATCAATGTCTCAGTAGCCTTAGCTACTACTGCCAATAGTTAAAGTAAAAAATAATAAATTCCATCATCACACCTTCCCCTGATTTCATTTGAAGTTTGGTCTTCCTGTGCTCTTTTGTCTTGTTTTGCTTTTATTTTAGCTTCAGCTTTCTGCAACTTTTTCTGATCAACAACCTGAAACAAGCAATGCCAATACTTCACTTCACATGATCCTTAGGGTGAGAGGAAAATGAGAATTAATGATTGCTGACATTTACAAGCCCAGAGCAGTTGCACAGACATACCCACCTCCTTTTTTACTAACATTTATTTTATCCAGCAAATGATGCTGGCCTATCAACAACTTGTAATTAAAGCATGCTAGCTTGAAGGCTAGGGTCACTCCAAACAGGCCCACTCTATTGGACGGCAACCTTTGTGCCCTGTATTATGCGTATGATATAACCAGACAATTATTTCTGCAGTGTTACATCATTCAAAGAAATTACTGGCCATGGATATGAGAGCATAATCTCATGGATAAGACTAATAAATACAGGGGTTTCAATATGCACTGACGATCGACAAAACATATAGGCTTCTTTGCTCAGAGAAGTATATAGCTACTTTTTTCCCAAAAGAAGAAGCAACTAGTTTCAACATCGTAAATGGATTGATAAAATCTGATGGAAACGTCATTATGTGTTTTCACAAAGGTTAACTATTATATAAACACTGTAGTTCAGTCAATTTTTTACACTTGTAATTCTTTATAAGTTTACACAGAATTTGCTCACATGCAAAATGTACATTTTGGTTATCGTTATTTGTGTATTGCTTGTAGGAGTTGATTGTGTGGCTGATAAATCGAAACTTGAATGAACACTACATTTTCTTGAAGGTATTCAGTTGTACTGAATCTGGTCCCCAGAATGCTGGGAATCACATGTTACAGCTTTCCAGTATCAAAATCATTTGGGGAAGCATGCTTCCAGACCCCCATAGAAAAGGGGGACTAACACAAGGGCTCCTTGTTGATAACGTCAATTGTTATATTCAAACCTGCTGGTTAATTATTTTTATTGAAACCCCCCAAATAGAATAAACTACAGACATCACTTGGAAATTAAAACAGTTCTCTTTACTAGATGACCAAGTGCAACATTTTTTGACTTCTTAAAATGGTATATATACATGTATGACAGGTGTACTTTACACTACCATAAAGATAAAGCTTACTGTGTTGCACTCTTTTTTCACTATCCAAATGCTGTGCGTGTCTTCATCAGGGTTCACTACAATTTACAGGTAGATATAAAAATACAATACTGAAAGGTGAAAGAACATGGCAGTAGTTGACAAAAAAAATGCTCTTTAGGTTTTGTGAGTTAGGTTAAATAAGTGCTGTAATATAGTGGTTAATACACATTATTGACAGGGAGAAAAGTTCAGTGATTACGTGAATGAGAGCACAATAACCTTAACCTGGAAACTACACAGTTTGTGATACAGTTAAGGCATTTATTCTCAAATGTAATGTTTAGCTTTTAATGATTACCTTACCTAGTAAGTTTTCTGCAAGCTCTCCCATATTCACAGGAGCCTCCAGTAATTTATGAATTCCCTGACCTGCTGCCGTTCCATCACAGCCATCTCTAAAAAGAGAAATTGAAATACAATAACATGCAGTCATAATGGTCAATGTATTTCCTTCCATGCTCATTGACAAGTTGGGAATGGCAGAATAATCAACTTACAGCAAGTTTCTTATGGAAAACTATTTTGTTCAATGTCTTATTTTATTGATTGGTTACAAGACTGAGACTTTATTCAAAGTGGTCGGTATTCTAAGAAACAGAACTAGTTTTAGGGTACATCAATAAAACTACAAAGCAAAATTCAAACTCCCCGTCCCTTTGCAAATTTGAAAAATTAAAAGTATGATGTTGTGGTGACTGTTAACAAAACACTTACCCTTTTAAGGCACCCATAAGTTGATTACAAAGGTCAATAATTTTGTCATCTCCTTCATCACCAGCAACTTCTGCCAAAATGCTTCCAACTGCATCATATATCTCTTCACCACTCTCGAAATCCTCAGATCCACTTTCAAGAACATCTGCAATATCATCATTGATAGCGCAACTGGTTAAAACAAAACTGGAATACAAAACACTCAAACTGAAACCCACCATTATTACTGTCAAACTCAGAAAACCGTGAACACCTTAAAAATTTCAGGAATGTTGACTGTGTACTGGCCAATCACAATAAAGTTCGGGCTATGCAAGCAAACCTCAAAACCACAAATTAATTACCGTTGCTGCTTGCGGTTTAGTTAACTCGCGCCTTATTGGTTTATTTCTCGCAATACAACAACATTCCATAAATATTTCAGGTGTTCACGGTTTTGTGAGTTTCAAGGTAAAGTACATTGGAACGCAGCCCATGTGGACACCACAAAGATGAGCGGGATTAAAAGTGCCTTTATTATATATGTATTGATATTAAAAAACCTCTCAGAATCAGCAGCAGAAGTGCATTTGTTTTATCAATTCCAATACTGAAGTGTGCGACTTAAACGCTACAGAATTAATTAAATGTGTCAGTGGTAAAGTAGACTCTGAATATGACTACTGCACAGGTTGTCGAAATGTCAAAACACACTTCGAAATTCAAACTTGATCTGGAAAGCATGGGCATGTTTAAACGAGTTCTTAAGAACTCCAAAGAGTTTTGTGGGTAAACAAATTACAAGTACAATTATTACATTACCCATGCCACCATGTTGGTTGTTAATATTAATTGTTGTTTTGATTCACGCTGCCTGATCAAATAATCAAGAATCTATGTATGCTGTCACTTTGACCTTCCTTTCCCAGAGAACTTATTCGTCAGCCTCTGATTCAGTATCACCGAACCTATATCTTCTGATATTATGGCATGCATTGAATACAAGTCGATTTGAAACATTTCTTTTTCTTTAAGTAAATCACGTACCATTTATAGTTTTCGAAACATTTTAACAAGATACCAGAAAAATGAATGTAAACACAAGATGACTGAGAGGGATCGAATACGCAAGAGAATTCGAAATGGATAAATTAGTTCAAAGTCAGAGAATAGATATTCTTTTCGGGACAAGCTTGTTATACATGTACGTCATACATAAATGAACGCACCGGCAGGGTTATATTTACAGACAGTGGGTCAAATTATATTGCTTAAATAAATGGATTGGGCTATATCATGATTATCAAAGCGCGATCGTCAGAAACAAGGCAGAGTAAATTACTGAGTCAGAGTACACTGGGATACTACAATGGAAACAAAAAATTGCCTTTGACAACAACAAGGTTTCATAGAAACATGTTAATTTAAGCATTTACCTGTTACATACTGGAAAAGATCGCCATCTATTGACGGAAATCTGTCTAGAAGAATTTGCCGGCAATTTTCAAGACCAGCCGCCATGTTGTTTCACCATCAAGTGAATCTGCTATGATACTGCGGTCTTCACTAAACCGGAAACGGAAGTTCAATCACCCGTCACCCGTCACCCAACCTGCCTGTCACCAAAATGACTACAAAAAATGCCATAACATACCATAATGCTATTTGTTTGTAACCCCAAAATGCTGCATAAGCATTGTCTTCAGTTTCTCTTGGGATTTATAGAGAACTTATGCAATATTTTGGGGTGACAAACAAAGAGCATTATGGTATGTCATGGCATTTTCTGTAGTGGTCAATACCCAGTGTTTTTCAAGATTTTGCCGGCTTTGGCAGAATCTTGAAAATTCAACATTTTTTCTGGAGAGGGTACGTTCCTTCGCCCTCTCCCAACCCAGCTCAGTTTGACCCACTATATGAATGCCTTAACAGCTTAAAGAATTGCCCTCTCCAGTTAGCTTTTCGTCGAGTAAATCGCAAATAAAGAGGATACGCAGATAACACTTCACGGCGTATAATGGCAAAATCACAGCGGCATTCCAGCGAGGAGCGCTGGATCATTAAACACGGCACACTATATATTAAATGACCCTTACGTCTAGAGGACCTTAAGGACAAGGAAATTAGAGTGTATTTTCCGACATTTCGGTTTGCAAAACATACCTTCTACACGGGCTCAAGAAAAGAAGCATGCTAGGTTTTTTTTTACAGTATTGCAAACCGAAATATTTAGTAAACACACTTCACCCACTAATTGTGATGATGTTAACGATGTCGGACCCTAACCTGAGATCAAGACCAAATAAACAGCCCACATGCATTCTCTCTATGCGGTTGCACTAAATTTTTACTTACAAAGCGCGAAACGAAAATGGAGCCTGACCTCATGTACAAAGTGTTACTCCGCTCACCATTCTGTGCGAGGTGAAAGCGTTGAGGACGAGGTATGCAAGGAGCTCCTGCTTACATACCAGAGAGGCCTCAAAATATATAATTGTCGAGGCCGATCACCGCGATTGAGGGGCCGTTATCGGTCTTGAATTCTTTATGCAATACTGGGAATAATACACACTGCCTGTGGGGACTGGGATGCGGGGAAGTGTTATGGTTGGTGTGGGGGCCAATCCCAGTACCCACGGGAAAATTGCTATCTACGGCAATTGCCTTCTACATTCATAGGGAAATCAGGGGACGAACTAGTCACGAACTTGCAAGGTTATTTAAAAGTTGGTAACGTTAATCCACAGGCAGTAAACTTTTAAATAAACTTTTATCTGTACAAGTTCAGTGCAGGTATTTGAGATTTTAGTTACGTCTCTAGACCAGTTATTTAATCTTGAATGTACAATTTCGTTTCTTTCCACTTTTATTGTACCTAATTTTTATACGTAGTTAAAGATGACTATTTCACATATTTATATATTATCTTCGAGAAGCCCCCTTTCAGGAAAGAAAGATAAGGCATGTAAATGTCACGACTATTTATAAGTTAGACTGAATACAGAATACATGGAGCTAACAAGACAAATAAAATGTCTGGTCTGACATTCAGCATTCAAATCTAAGTAGCATGTCATGACCCCAAAATCCCACTGAAAACGACTTGTCTGTGTACACCTGTTGTTGAAATCTACCATTACATAGTAAGAAGTCCCAATTTGCGCAGAGGAGACGCTAATATCTTACTGTTATATACTAAACACTACTTTCAAGAGGGACTTGCGATTGCAGGCCGCAATACTTTGCACAGAGTTCTTCTGCCTGCAGGTCTTCGTGAATTAAGGCCATTCCTAATGCAGCATACGTGGCATCTGATGCCTGAGACTTTTTCCATCGATCCAACAAGGTGTAGCATTTGTCATCAAGGGTCTTTTGATCATGATCAATATGTTCGATCTCCTTAGCACCCAACAAAATGCGGCACAGACTCTTCCACTGTGAACCCACGTCGTGTGCGAGATACAATAAGTCATCAAGTGACACAACACCAGGTTTAAAACGAAGGTCGTCTGCAAGGTACAATGTAACCACAAAGGTATTTGAAAATTGTATAAAAAGAGTTGTCGGTATTTAAGTGCAAGAGTATTTTAGACTTCTGGTCCCAGTTGTTCAAAAGGAGGATAGCGCTATCCACCGGATAAATCTCTATCCACTGGATAGCGCAATTGGTTTTCCTAATACTTATCCACTTGGTAGTGATTTATCCGTTGAATAATAGCGCTATCCAAGGATTGAACAACCGGGGCCTGATGTACAAATATTGATTCTCTCACTAACAATTAAATTTGTGATTTTTTTGGCTCAGAAAATTGGATTTCAAGTTTAGCCGTGTCTAGAGTGAAGATCAGATACTCATTAAAATAATTTCCTTCAGATTTTCTTTATGAATGATTAATGACGTTTAAATTGATATTGTTAAATGTCATATATCGAGGTAACAATCAAACTGAAGTCAATGCATTAGCGCCGAACATATTTTTATAGTATAGGGACAGAACGAAAGACACCATTAACTAGCCTCCCTCCCACGCAGACATTCTTAGGGCTTCGTCGCCCAAGGGAAGAACTTGCCACGCATCCCCTAAGTGACGTCTGCGCAGGAAGCTAAGATTTACCTGCAGCATGATTTCGACCAAAATGCTGAGGAAAAAAAAAATGATGATTAATGTTTTAAAACGGTAATACATAGGACATTACAAGTTACAGAAACAGCATTGAAAGGGCACAGTTTAATATATCCGGTGATCTAAAATGACGGAATGTAGTTCAGTATGTGAAATTGACTCAGTAAAATATTAATCATCCAGGCTTTATTTTTAAGGTAACTAAACGTGCCATGCAAAAGAGCTACTGAAATACGTGCTGTTTGGAAAACTTGTATCAGTTCCAAAGCCAGTGTTCCTTTGCATCAGCTCTGCAGAGGAACTGTAAAGATTCAGTAGCTTGCAAGAAAACTGTAGAGCATAAGTATGTACCTTTATCCAAGGCTTAAGTTTGTCTTTATCCAGTAGGGTTTTAGACTTGATAGTCTGTTCACACCTTAATGGCCGATCAGGACCTAATGGAATAAAGTGGGCACAATCGGGATGTGGACAGGACGGAATATGGTGCCAGGAACAGCCATCATCTCCTTCACTTTCACCCAAACACAGATCACAGCGCGCACACAGCCTCCATGTAATGGAGTGCAGCCAATGACACCGCAGATGAAGAGAATCTAGGACATCTTCAATACATCTGCAACAGGATTTCAAAAGAAAAGAAATAAAGGATGATCCTGGAAACAGATTTTAACCTTCATTGACTGAGGCCTTGATTAAATGAAAGTGGTACGACATCTGATAGGTCTCTACCCCTTGGCTTGCTTCTGTTGAAACGATTACGGTCTGAAAAGTGATCTTGGATCGCTCTGATTCAACAAGAGAGCTGAACAGACTGACTTCTTAGGATACACCATTCAAAGTAGCTATTCTTATTCTTAAGCGAAAAAAAAAAACTTATGACAATGTGTGGGAAACATCAAGAGCATCTCACGAGACATGGTTTTTTTCCAGACCATGCCATAGCGGAAATTCCGCATTGCAATCAAAGATGGCACCCAGAAAAAACGAAAAAAGGGCCGATTTTGTCCTTTCCGTACACAAGCTTACAGGACACTGGGGTAGTATTTTAAAAGCCATTCATGTAACATAAGTACCCAACCTGTAAACTTGTTGGCAGATGGCAGTCATCTCTGTTTCCTCTTCTTTGCTACCTTCTCGCAGAACATGGACCATTACCACACTCTTGAAGAAAGCAAACGTCAAACTGTAGTCATTTTTCTTCCCAATAAAAAACCGTGCTGTGTTTGCAGACATTTTGGGAGGCCTCGCAGAATGCTTCTTTGAAGCCCAATCAGAAAACAAGACAACGAATCTGGAGAATAATCCATACGGAATATACCCAGTGTTGAAAGTGATGTAAACTGGTGCAGTCATATATTGGTCAGTTAATCCCACAATTTCGTTTTCTGGCGTAGCCGGCAGCATTGTTGGTACAAGGTAGACCACCTCTCCATTTTGGACTTCAAGTCGGCAAACAAGGCTTGCTTTCTCCATGACAGAAAGAAGTGATTCTTTGGAGAGGTTGAGGTCAGATTCTTGGCAGGCAAAGTTGACAAGCTCTTCTGACAAGATGCCTTCTTTAGCAAGAGTTTGGCGGCATTGCCGGATATTCATCGGTTCTCTCCTCCCAGGAACAACGTTTATAATTTGACAGAACAGATGAACTAACCACTGTGGATCCAGGAAAACCAAGCAGTTGGACTCGTCACTTTCGTTGAAGCAAAGAACAGCACCACAGTCACACAAAAAATGCAACAGCTCATCACTGTCTTCATCCACGTGAAAACGACACACTTTCTTGGCCACTGTCTTGAACTGTTGTAGAGTGATATACTTAAATCCTTCGGCAGCTAGGCGATGGAGTACCTTCTCCACACGAAGCCACTGAAGAGGAATTTCCCTGTTTCTATGAGGTAATGAGGAGGCCACAGAAATGATCTTTTGCCGTAATTTTAGAATAGTTGGATCCTCTTTAGCTTGTCCAGCCCGAGTGTTGTCCACAGAAAACTTGTCAACAATATGCGATGAAAATTGCTTTCCATGAAAACTGTCCAAGATGGCTTCCAAACGGTTCCAAGGATCGCCACTGACTTTGTCGGCATGTGTTCCAACTAAGATAACTGGCGGCTGGGCAGAGCTTGTAACACTTGCGGCGCTGGTATCCTGAAAGGAATGAACCAAGTCCATCCACCTCACCAGATGATCGAAACAAGAGTCAGTTTTGTGTTGCATATTAGTTGCTCGTGCAGACTGACCCGTATGTTCTTTGCTGAAGAGATCCTTGGTCAAGTCACAAACCAGTAAATATACAGCTTCCCGTGACATGAAAATTGGATTCATTCCATGTAAAAGAGATTGACCAGAAAAGTCCCAAATCACAGGCCATACTTCCTCTGAAGCAGAGAAGTGTTCCTGTCTGAGCATGCGCTCTACCAAATTAGCCACATTCTGCGGCAGATTGTCTGATGGGTCCTGATCGCTCGTGAGAATATCCTCTACCACGCTGGCCATATTCCTCGGAAGAGGATCTGAAATAACTTGATCACTGATGAAGACATCATCTTGGAGAAATGGTGAGGGCGGTTCTTCGTAATGATCTGTTCCATTCGGCATTCCTGAAAAAGAGGCAACAAAAATGAGCATGGACTCAAACCTGTTTGAGCGTTACCTGACTATTTTAAGTGCAATCTCATCGATCACTTGAAAATAAAAACCATAAGGTGTTTTCATTTCAACACAAACTTTTGAATTCTTGGATCAAAGAAAGACTTACAAGAGTTGCAGCTTAATTATTCCAACACTTGTGCTCCAAGCAACATGTAGATTATAATATGTCATATTTTCTAAGACATCTACTCAGACAAGGATTGCTCAAGAATATTCATTCACAGTTTAGGGAAAAGGTCATTTCAACTTTTTTCATCACAGTTTTTGAAGGAAAAAACATCAAATATATTTCAATGCCCTTTCGCAACACAGAAAAAAGAAGTGACATGTGTTTTCGTTATTCCCACATGGTACGTGTTAACTTAAAAGAATTGGCTACGATACCTTTCAAACGTTCATTGAAGTGATGCATGTCTTTGCAATGCTCTGTCCCATTGGATACACCGTTAGATGCAGAGGGTAGATTCAGGTAACACTTGCGCTCAGAACAATTGGCTTCGCTACATGAAAAGCCTTTTCTTGCAGGGTACTTGGCCTTTACCAAATCAGAAGTAGGATAGCCATTTGGTTCCGAGAGCTGTCGAACCACAAGCTGAGCGCTTCTATGATCGAAAACGCTGATGTTCTTAACTGTTTTATGTGCACTCCAAGCTTTCAAGCCATCCTTCAGCAACGGTGCATCCATGTCTACTCCCAGCGTACTAGCCTCGTGTTTATTGAATTTTTCCCCCTTAAGGAATCTCTTTAAACTTGTTTTTCCTGCTTTACCTTCGCCAATAAGCATGATTCGCACGCGTACATCACGTGTTTTACCATTCTCCAGGGCTCTTCTGTAAGCTGCTTTGGCTTTGTTTCCTCTAGCAACCACAGCTGGTGGAAAACGGCCTGGGAGCAAAAGACACATTAAATTAACCACAAAAAAAACCCTGTAGTGATGGTCCTAGTTGTCAAAAGGTGGAAAACACTATCCACTGGAAAAATCTCTAACCAATAGGCGGGGTGACCTCTTATGCTTCCTTTAAACAATGCATTGGAATCTTGCTGATGCCAAAAATTGACAGAACACATAAAAATTATCTTCCACGCGAAATTTGAGAGGAAACGCATTTAAGGGAGATATTTTATGGCACTTTGATTTTTCAACAAAGTAGTATGATTTGTAATTTGGCCACCATGTTGGAGGGCAAGAGTATGCCCTCCAACATGGCGGCCAAAACTACTTTTTAAACGTTTGATAGTTACACTCAGATGTGCTGTAAACGTTACCACATCATCTTTTCAACATTTCCCTTGAACTTTAAGTGCAAAATCTGTGTTCAGAAAGAGGTAATTCATAATTTTAAAAATCACATTTTGGTCATGTGACCAGCTAAGAACTTACTCATTTTAAGAAAATGGTTCGGGTTTGAAAAACCAAATGACTCACTAATCGTTTTTCGAAGGCAAAATCATATACTTTCATTTTCATAAAAATGATGTCACATGACCTCTTAGTGCAAATGGCCTATTGATAAAGTAATCGGTTTCCCCAATACTTATCCGCTGGATAGCGATTTATCTGGTGGATAATACAATCCAATCGGGGCCTGAGTTTAACATGGCGCAAGAAGGCTCTTATACAACTGCTAACAGTTGCACTGGGTTGCCTGTGACCAAATCTAGAATCACACAGTTTATCATCATGTCTCTACATGAATATAAACAAAATTAAAAAAATACTGGCTGATATGTTTGTCTCCCGAACATGTAACCAAGCAACGCTGAAGTCACTAAATAGAAACTTTTCATCAGATACAAGTACCTTAAAATACTAAACACCTTTGATGAAGAATACAAAAAAATGTATCAAAAACAGAGTTAAAATTTGTAGAACAGCTGTACAGAGATCAAACATACATTTTGAGTCTTTGTCAATCTTGACAGGATCTGTAAGCTGTGATTTCAGACCACCGCGGCACTTCCTGTACCACTGCAAATGAGATGACATAATAAGTTAACACCCTGTAAGTTGCCGCTAAACTGTTTTAACAAAACATCAAGCGTTTAAAATAAACCTTTGCAACAGAGGCGTGGAGAACAGCCTAAAGATAATAAACAGGACACATAACAGCAACAAGTTTGCTCCATACCATTTTGCATCCCTAATCCACTGTATTTAGTATCCCTCTTAAGTTCAATCACCCAAGAGTGTCAAGTTTTGACACGCACATATCGTTCTCTACATCCTCTATCGGTCTAGACTGCAAGCAGTCTCCCTTATTCTTCAGATTTGGTTGGGAGAGTGCACGCGCACACAACTGTCGTGTGGCGAAACTGCGAGACAGGAGAAATGAGGGCGTGCCTCTCCTGTCTTGCAAAATCGGCATATTGGAAATAAGTTTCTGAGAATGTTTTATCAGAAGTTTACTCTTTCTAACAAAAAGCATTAACATTAGACTAGTATGCTTAGTGTACTGCAATTTATATTTTTTAGTCATTGCATACCTCAACAAAATCAGACAAGCTATTAAATTGATGCTCGTTTCCAATTGCGAAACGATTTTTCTTGAACTCGACCAAATACCGCACTGGATTGCCTTTCCACCTGTTAAATTTAAACAACAGACCATTACCAAACAGCTTGTTAAAAACAACAGCCACACCTGTCTAGACTACGCGTAGTCCTTCGTTTTCATATGGGACAATAGAGCAAGGGGAATATGCAAGCAGGAGTGAAAATCGCCGCTGCGAGGAAGGTGACGCACAGATGAAGGAACATCACCTCCCTACTGGGTAATACCCTGAGAAAATGGTCAACATTTCCTGACTCCACCATTGGTTTCCCTGCGAAACGACGTCTGAGAAATGACCGCAGAAATTCCATACTGATGAAGCGTCACTAAGTAGGTAATGGGTAGTGGGTAGTGCTTCTGATTGGTCATGTCGCGGGAGAAATTTGTTTCAACCAATCAGAAGCACTACCAAGATCTGGCTAGTGATATGTCATCAAGTATGGAATTTCTCCAGTCCCTCCTCAGACAACATTTTGTGGAGAAACTAGTGTTGGCGTCACAAAATGCCGGCTGTTTTCTCAAGCTACGAGGGTGTGTGAGCTCTCGAATATTTTGCATCACTCTATTAAATATTCTGAGGAAAATATTAGACTAATTGTTCTCTGTATCTGGAAGACACAGAGGGCCCTTAATTAGAAATGAAACATGCAACTAACACTTCAACGTACTTTTAGAGACTCACCATACATAGAGGCAGTAGTTTCCAGGAGATGTGCTGCTATCTTTGATCAGGAACATTCCATCTTTTGGTACAGTACTCATACTTTTGACCAAAGAATCTATCTTATCATGAGTTAGGTCACCAACGTACCAACTAATTAAGGAAAAAAAGAAAAGACTTTTTAAGGCCTCTGTAACAAAATGAAAAAAAAAATTATTGTATATTGTACTCACTATCTGGCTTTTCATTGGCTAAGAGCTTAAAGTTATCTTTGGAAATCAGAGCAAACTAGAGGTTTAATAGCTGCTATTATTCATTCAAAATATTTTCCTGATTCTGATTGGCTAAAAGCACACGTCTAATTCACCATAACCAGTTACTGATGACCAAATTTGAAAGAATTTTGTGTTTAACGAGGAAATGGCATCAAAAATGCAGCATTTTCACTGGCTAAGGCACTGTTAACGGAGAAGACCTGGGGACGAGGTTGACTTGTTTTGGTTCTGAACTTGAAAAATGGCGTACATTTTACGTGTTTCAAGAGTAAGAACTAGGCAAAACAATAGTTAAAAACATGGCAAGAACAGCAGGAAGACGACTTGAAGGGCGACATATGCTATTTGGAGAATATTTGCGGAGCTGGACAAACCTAAACATGCACTATCAAAGATGAACTTAACATCGATGGATCGATGGAGGTAAGCATGTTTTAGCCATGTTTTCTGTTTTGCTTTGTGAATGTTCATCAGTAATGAAGCAATAATGCAGCTAGGTATAATCAAGGGTTTGTGGTATTTAAAACCTTGTTAAGCTTGGTATCAGCTACAACAACTGACCGACATAATTCGCCACTTGTACATCTCCCAAAAGGCACCTTGTTTGCCCCCCAAAATTTGGCATAAGCATTGTTTTTAATTTCTCTTGGGATGGTTGTAATACCCACTAGGAAAAAAAAAACAAAACAAAGGTTATGCAAAATTTTGGGGGGCAAAAAAGGTGTATTAGAAGAGATGTACAAATGGCAAATAGTAATAATTATTATTACGATTACACAGTAAGTGTTAAACAAGTGAAATAAACATACTCTTCATCCCAAGGATGAACCTGAACATAAATTGTAGAGTTTTCCATGACATGGTAGTCGCTGAGATGAAAACTATCCATAACCAGAAGTTTGTCATTCAGTCGTAACAACTGACAGTCTGCAGGCTGGCCACTCTTTTCTTCTATCTGCGCTTTAAGAGACTGCACTTGATTTAAGGTGCTTGTGAGCAGGGAAAACGTCTTGGACCCAATCACCACACGGATATGAATTTCAGTTGATGCTGCAGTGTAAAGTCGAGGTCTTACCGATGGGCTGCCTGTGGTAGTTAATCCTGTTGAGATGACAGAGGTCAGGATCTTGTTAATTTAAGTCAATGTTCCTGAAGATATTACATTATGAATTATTAAGGTACTGGTAGGTATCATAGACTGCAGTCGGCCTTTTCTCCTAAAATCCGTCTAGTTCTTGATCTCATCCAGTGTGATTGCAAACCACGATGTTATTATATAGGGATCGAGACAAGATGAGAAAAGACGGACTGCTGACTCTTTTGTAGTAAACAAACCCTCCATCAGTCCAGAAACAGAGTAACCGATTGGTCAATTGCAGAACTGTTGACAGATCATTGACTGGTCTGTGGTGAGATTGCAAGCAATAAAAATAGTCACGCGTCACAAAAAACTGCAAACAATAGCGAACCAAGCAGTAATCTCAGTAATAAAACTTTTAAGGATATCTTAAAGAAGGAAACTTCTGTAAATTTCCTCAAGGGAAATGAATTCAAGGCAATCTTACCGGATTTAAAGAAAGTGTAAGATTTTCAGTTATTTATGTTCTATTTATAAATTGTTTCAAGTTACCCGGGGTTAAATTGATTAATTAAATTACCTCGATAGCTTCGTTGTCCCCAGACAGAACAAAAAAGTCAGCAGTCTCTTATTTTTTCTTCTCGGGCTTATGCCCTCGTTTCTCGCGGCAAGCAGCTTCGCTGCTCGCGTGCTTATTAGGTTTTGCGTGTAGTAACTTTGCAAAGAAAAATAAGAGAATGCTCGCAGTCTATAGGTATCAAGGTTGAAGAATACTCCAATTTAATGGTTACCTGCCTGATTGAATCTTTTCCAATCATTGGGAATGATCACTTTTAAATAACCATATTCCTGGCATTTAATTTCAGAGTTGTTGTAATATCATCATGTGCTTCTCATGCAGATGCAAGTTGCTGAGGAGTACTTATTAAATAGTTATTGCGATACATCAGCAAGAGAAGTTCCAGATGGAAAGAAATATGAATTTCAATGCCAATAAACTTGTACCCGTAAATCCATTAGATCTCATTGTTCATGTTTTATACTTTTCAAGAGAATCAGGTGTATATAGGTTTTCATATGTGAAGAATAATAATTATTAACATTAACATGTAATACCTAGACATTTTTTTATTACACAGTTAAGAGACTCTTTCTAACTGCACAAGCAGTACCTTCTCCTCCTGTACATTCAGAGAGCTCAGACCTTGTCACAGGCTCTTTCAGTTTGCCTTTAATGGGTAGCCCTTCTTTCCTCTTGTAAAACTGCAAAGATGTAAAATAAATACAAGATTATTTAGTGAGGGTGGAATACAGAAATGATCATTACCAGTTACCAGGTAAGTTAATTAAATAATGGCCCTCCAGGCATAAAAAAAAACAAAAAAGAAAGAAATATTCACATGGGGACACTGGCATGTAATGTTGTCTTAGTAAAGAAGTACTTCAAAGTAACAAAATAGACCCAGTGCAAATCAGAAATACATGCACCTCATAACACTTAAATGCACTGTTATAACCTTAAGAATATCAGGAGGGAGGATATCAGCTACCTCATTCTATAGAACACCGAAGGCAAAAATTTTTGGCTTTCTAAAGTCTCCTCACCACTCACTATTTTTACCCTTTAATATACATATATTTTATGTAACTTTTCTTGTTCACCTTAAACTGGTCTAAGATTACAGGGTACCTTGTGTTGTAGATATGGAATCACAATAAATTTACCTCAAACCACACATGGTGATGTAAATAAATGAATAAAGAACTTACTATACAAATTTTCACACCTGGATCATTTCAGCAATGGTGTAAAAGAAATTACGTCCATTGATTGTAAACATCATATTCTTGTGACAGGATACTTTGAAATGCTTGACTTGACCAGCATCACTACATTTAAGACAAGTGAATGATATCTGCTGTTTATATAAAACTAGGCTAACTGCATAAATGTCCTTAGATTTAAAGATAGACTGAAATGTATTAACCCCACCTCATCTAACTAACAAATACAGGTATTTTTATTCTGGCAAATCACCTTATTTATGGCAGGTATACATGGCATGTACCACCTTACTTGCATATAATATTACTTGAATGTACATTTATATTTCATATTATTTTGGGAGCCATAGAGCCCTTAGTGACTTCTGATTATCTACTAAAATCTCCTTCTAATATTCTTTATAATTATTATAGTTCAGATCGAACCAGGAGCCACTTAAGTTCTTTTCAGTGCTCTTCTACACTGAAGTAGTTTAGAATGTTAAGCACAAGTGACAAAACATATGACCAACATACCGTACAAATAGGACATAATCACCAGGAAAAGAGACACTCTCTTTAACAAGAAACTGTCCCTCAGAAGCTGAAGACATAATTTCCTCAGCTTGGTCACGCCCTATTTTTCCATGGAACCAACTGTAAATAGAACAGAAAGGATATTACAGACAATAGAATTTTATGTTTGAAAGTGCATTAAGCTATTAAAATTGAATATAATATTTAAATATCAGGTAATTTGAAAAGCTTTAAGGGAAACTAGTGGAGATAATGCTATACATATTAAGAATAAATTTTATACTTGTAAACTAGTAGTAATCGCAGAAAATTTAACCTTCACTTGTTTATGTCGTCCATAAAACGTGAAATTAGGCATTTTCCCGTTGTAGTCATGGAGTGACGGAAAAGAAATATACAAAAAAGTGTGATGCACGTGAAGAGTTGTTGTTTTGCCTATTCAACCTATTACTTTTTTGACTTTCTCGTTGTCGTTGCCGTTGTGGCATCTTAAAGTCCATATTCATTCAAGATCATAAAAACAATAAAATTAATACTTACTCTTACTAATACAAGGTGTTCAGATGGAAAAAAAACCAAAAGCTAAAATCTTTTTACCTAGTAAGTGACAGCTTTTTGCCACCTTTGGAGAAGGGTGACACAAAGGCTTTCAATGAAGGACAAAAAGGTCACTGCTTCATAGCAAAGGAGGTCCAAGATTATGAACTACGCATCAAACTTAAATACAGCCCTAATGGTCAATTTATTATCAGTATGGTTGTACAATGTAAATGTTGTGGTTCAATTTTATCTTTGGTTTAAATTTTATTTTCTTTTGTTTCTAGGAATGGTAATGTGTGATGAGTTTGGAACGAAAGAGAGTAAAATTTAAAGCAAGGATAAAATTGAGCCACGACACATACGCCTTGGTTCAGATCCATAAAATTCATATGTTGATTTCTTCCATTCCTTTTGGAAAAGTACTTATGATAATGAATTTAAAACAAAGGAAAAATAAAATTTTTATCTAAGGATCAAATCAAACCAGAACATACTCTGTACATGTGTGCTATTTAACTAGATTTATTAAAGAAACATCAACGATAACACTGGTAATTTCTGCGTCATCCGGAACCTTTGTTTTTAAAAGTGAAAGTACGTGAGTGAATTTTTTATTCTCAGGGAGAATTCTCCTTTGGAACTCGGAAATCAAGGTCTGTTATCAAACCAGTAAATATGAGTGCAAAGACGGAAACGATTAATAAGTAGTTTCTCAAAAACCATTAGTCACCCACGAAGTTAATGGTAAAATTGAAGTGCACTTTCGTCATTTGCACAGCACATGTTTGAAGTCAAGTAGCTTGTCACGTAAACAACCAACTCACCTCTCACTCCAGGGATGAATCTGCACGTACAAAACAGAACCACTGATCACACCGTAATCCTGTAAGGTATTGAATAATTCTCCAAGTGGCCTATTTATACGGTTTGACAGTTCAACAATGCGCAAAAATAAACTATCTGCGCGTAGACGCAGTATGGTCGACAACTGCTGTTTCAAATCGTTTATAGTTACCGATTTTCCCCCTTCAGGAGTGACGAGCAAAACTCGTCCAGTTTCCGTCACTATGTTGATGTAATAGGAAGAAGACGAATTGCCCTTTTTGTACGACAAATATATCACTGCATTCTTCTTTATCAAGTCTCCAAAATATATGCTACTGTCGTCTTTCCATTCAACAGTAGCTGCATTCTGTAAAACATGAAGAGTTTGAAGGCATGGCGAGAGGCCAGTCTCTTTCGAGATCTTTTCCTTGAGAGTTTCCACTGTATCTAATAAAGTTCCATTTACGGGAATTCTCTTTGCGTTCAATATATCCACACACGCCTGCATAGCGAAGCTCAAGCGACGTGAATCAGCACAAATCGAAATTTAAATGAATGAAATAACAAACTAAATCGCTCAGCTCGCACGTTGTTGACTGCAATCGATACCTCGGATGTGTACTTGACTTTCCTCGCTTGCTCACTGACTAAGAACAAAGAAAGAAAAGAGTAACAAGGAAATCAAACACTTCTGTATTCGATATAAACGTACAGCTGTAGATACATGTATCACTGCATTCCTTACGTGTATGACTCTTCGCTGTTTTATATACCATACTCCATTTTGTTACATGTGACGTCACGCATAATCAAGACACGTCCAATATTTTTAAAAAAGGTCAGGTGCATCAGAAACTCTCGGTTTTACATGAAATTTATCAGACCACGTTAACCTTGACCGCAGTCAAACGATGTAAATCAAAAGCTTTCCCGACGTTTTATGTATTTCCAACGTGCCTTTACCTTACTGCTGCTGAGAGTTTATCAAAGAAGTCATGTTCTAAAGATGAAAACTGAACTTTGCCACAAATAGAATAATTTGCCGGTGTGACAACAGACAGACGATCTACCACGGAACTGATGCTCTATGCATAGTGTCACGAAGCTGGTGTCAGTTGTAGGAGCAGGTGTTCAGGTGAGCAGACGTGACTTAACACCTTGTAACTCGAACTTGAACCCGAATCCCAAGGCCAGAATCCCGAGTAACACCTCCAGTCATGTCCAGTTTCCCTTGCACTTTGCACCTCTGCACCTGAAGGTTAAAGCCAACGACACAGTACATCGTCTGTCCTCTAGCTCATTTACATTTAAATGTAAACGTATGAAAATGCGTCCACGAAGATTTCTTGGATGGGTAGATTACCACATTTTCTTAGGTATGGGGCTACGCTAGCGCGCTCGTGTAGCCACGCCCAGAGAGCAGTGAACTCAAAACCACAATACCTTTTGGGATTTCCGAGTGCACCGTTTTCCGACAACCTTTCTCGAAATAGCGGTAGATAATTCTTTACGCACAACCCTTAGCGATGCCTTTGCGGGAAAAATATTAAAATTGAATTGAGACCAAAATCTACATTTTCTACCTCTAAGCAAGACGACGAGAGCATACAGTACTTTCACCCCCCCTCTCCCCCGGATAACTGCCTCGACGGAAAGCGGAGCCTGTTGTGGGTGTACATCAAACTTATTTGACTCTCAAAAGAGTTTTTCTATTTTTTATTCTTTTCTGCATTCCAGAAAGACAAAAGCAAAAACAAAACTAAGCAAAAAATGACAACAATAGCAAATAACAACAAAAGAGCCCCACACAGCCGCAGTGGAGGAATGCGTAAGGATGGATGCGCGTGCGATTGTGAGGCCCAGGTTTCTCTCTCACTTTTTTGAAAAACTGCTCGAAACTTGAGCCCGCGTATCAGTAAGGAAGAAGGAAGATCGTCGATATGGATTTGGAAAATAAAATTTCTGCGCTAAAAGATTTTGCATCTTTTGGATCTTCCTCGAAAGGGGGTCCATCATCAACGCGGAGTAATCAAAGCCCTCAAAGTACGAACTCTTTCTCCCCACAAAATGGTTGGGGAAATTGGTTTGCAAAGGGAGAAAAAGACCCATTTTTGCCGTCTTTGGTAAGTTTCTACAAATCTATGGGCAGAATACGTGCCTTTCTGCGTCACACGTCATAAATTTGCTTACACTTCAATATTCTTCAGTTCCTTTTCGATTTTTTTACGTAGAATATTGAGTATTAATATTATTGTGGCGGAACTATGGAAGAAAGAAATTGTAATTGACTTTGCAGATTTTTTAATGCTTTACTTCCCTGCATTTTAAATGTATTTACTATGGTTCCTATGTTTTGAGGATGACCGCTTTCAAATGGGGGATTGACTGATGCGTAATATGTATAAAATTTCCTATAAAAATAAGTAAAATTAGATTAATTAATTAAGTTGTAATTGTATTGTTTGGTAATACAGTCGAACTAACGGCCACCTCTCTACAACGGGCACCTTTTTGGCAGATATTCCATACATTGGCTCTTGTTTAAACCCCTGCAATGGCCACCTCTCTGCAACAGCCACTTTCTTTTGTCCCCAAGGTGGCCTTTGAGGAGAGGTTCAACTCAGGGTCAGAAAGGGAGTGTCTGAATCTTGAATCACGGGTTAAATTTCCCTACATTCATGAATCACGTTACCTTTTGGAGTCATTTCATGAATCACATGATTAGGTGATGAACTGACCAAGTCTATCAATGATTCTTAGTGTTTGCTGGGCTACTCAGGCAAGAGAATTGTTCTTAAATGACCCTGTGATCGAAATGAATCAAAAACTATATATTTGGTGTTCAAACTGGTGATCCTCTGCTTTTTGTTTAACGACTACAAAGTTGACTGGCAATGAATTTTAATGCTATAAAGTATTAAATCAAAGCTCTGTAAGTTTTCACTTTAAAAGGTTTTAACTTGGAACCCTTGTCACGACACTTACATCTGTTTTATTGGTAGAAATCTCGATTCACAGAGTACAATGTTAGAGGATCACGCATCACAGTGAATATATCATTCCTGAATCATGACTTTATTTCATGAGTTTTCTCGATTCACACTCTGTCACTGGTCAATTCACGGATCATGCAAAACCTCTTCCAGACCCTTTCAACTGTACCATGTATGACCACGTATTGAAATGGGAATACCAAAATAATGTTGTTGGATGTGAACAGCCAACTGGCACCAATTGTGCCAATCTTATTACTATGATACAGGATTTGTGCCAAAGCAATTCCAAATGATCTTGTGCCATCCCCTTTTTTCTCCATTTTTGACTAACCTAAAATGTTAGCATTTTCAAATAAAATGTTGTTAAAGCTTGTTCAATTTTAGTTAATTCTTTTTACACGAAAAGTGAGCACTGTAACAGCATTTCCAGGTATAGAAGTTTCAGTGGTGTATCCTTTTTGCTTTTTACTGTGACATCGTACATCTTATGTTCTGTCAAAGCAAAGATGCTGGGGTTTCAGGGCTTCTATTCTCTGACTTTATGTGATTTTTTTACCTTTTTTTTTGTCATCTGACCAACCCACTCATGCTGCTGTGTAATTGTACATGGGCATGTTTGTTTACATGTTGTTTGTGATACTAACCACTTACACTGTCTTGGCTGCAGACTCGAACTCAAAGAATCACAGGATTTTTCATGTGCTTGTTAATGGGAATTTTCTGTTTTGTCATGGTAAGAGAAAGTAATTTTTTAATGGTCACTTGATTTGAATAACGTCATTTCTGTTGCTCAAATATACTTTATGCGAAACTTGGTCATAACTGATACATCCTCAAAAACAAAAACAATTCATCCTTACAACAGGCTGAAAATTCAGGCTGCTAACACAGCTGTTTTCCATTATTTCCATTTAATGCTGAAAAATTTGGGTGTACATTCTCTCTTTCTTTTTAAATACTGCAAGTAGTTGTTCTCATTATATTTGGAAAGATTGTTGTGTGATTACATATGCACATAAATTATCATGCACATGTACAGTATTTGCCATAAAGATTTGATTCAAATCTGGAGACATACACTTAACATAGAGAGTTGTTACGTATATACAGTGATCAGTAGAATTTGAGTATCTGGCAAAGTGGAAGTTGGGCCAGTGTCTTCACACTTTCTTAAACTGCCTTTTCTAGGCTGGCTTTATAGCACCTTTCATGCTGTTAAAGGCCCGGAAGTTTGTGCTTCTTTACACAATGGGAAGTTTGTTTACAATAGGAAGGTAAAGTGAATGTGTAAATACAATAAATATTATTTATTATTAATAAGTCAACACACTTATACTCATAAAATGTGGATGATATAAAAAAAGGTACTGGTTACTTCTATGACCATTCAACTAACAATAAATAAATAAATAATAAAATAACAGCACACATAAAGCCCTTTTTATTGAAAGTAGTCTGTTCTTAAGAGTACAAAGTAACATTTTACATTGAAAACTCCAGTGAGGTCTGCTGGGGACATAAAACAAAAAAAACCGAGGGCATGGACAATTTCAGGAATATCAGGAAATTTTAAATAATCTTTCCCCAATGCAATAAACAATTAACTAACTGTGTTTTCCTATTGTTGAGTGCTCAGCATTATAATATTATTATTGACAAGTGTGTTATTTTTTAATTCATTATTGCATTCAGCAGTGCAATCCATGTTTTCCAGGGTTTGTACAGGTGATGGAAAACCTGGAAAGGCATGTAATTTAAGAATTTCATCTTCCAGTCCTGGAAAGTCATGGAATTTAATTGTCGGTCCTTGAAAGTCGTGGAAAATTAGAGTTTTGTTTGGTAGTGTAGTTCCTGCAGATGACAAAGCAAGGACTATGTAAGATAAAGAGGATTAATAAAATTAATTATTCAGCGCAAACGGCACACATTGTGGTGGACACCAGAGTTTCTGTCTGTTGAACTGCTTAAATCAAAAAATACCCCCAGACTAGAAAAATTGTGAAAGTTTTTGAAAGTGACAACTAAACCTAAGGTCATGGAATACTTGAAAAGGTCATGGAAAAAGTCATGGAAAGTCATGGAATTTGAAGAGCTTAAAAGAGTATGAACCCTGTTTTTGTATCAATTATACCATGAATTTCTGTCTGTTCTCTTCCAGTTTTTCATTTCTTTGGGGACCAGTCAATCATGCAAAACATTTATGTTCATTTGGAAGGCTTCCTTTTACAGCTGCATACTTTGGTTCAATGTTTGCTACACTCTACATGGCCATGATTGTAAGTGTATTTATTTTTCCAAGAATACTGTTGCTGGCTGCTTATTAACAATAAATTGTATGTGATGTTGTCAATCTAACCTAATTGTCATTGACCACATTTCTTAGTATGTTTAATAGCACTTGGAAGAAGGCTGTTGCTCCCCCCCCCCACCCCCCTCCCTTCATTTCCCTACTATCTTCCACTGTTTAATCAGTTTTATGGGGCTTGTCCTCTTTGTTGGATAATAGCTTTTGTCTGGCTAGTCAGGAATTGCCAGTCAGCATTCTCTATCAAACAGCCCAGTCAAAATATTTTACAATAATAGGCAGGATAACCAAAGTAGCAGGTGGCAAAGACCTAAACTTAATTGTGCTCTGGTTTTTATTTAATATTACTTACCTATTTGTTGAGTAGGTGGAAAATATTTCTCTGAAGATGGAAAAAATGCTTGCTATCAGCTCATTTTGACTGGGCTAATCTGTATGAGCTGCCTGCCAGCAGTAGCAGTTCCTGGATTTAAGGCACCCATCCTTCATTTAAATACCCTGCGAGTAGAGGCCCTTTGATCTACCTAGATAAGTCAGGAAGTTGCGATTTATGTAGGAAGATCGAAGGGCGTCTGCTCACAGGATATCATTTAAAGTAATGCAGTTGTTAATCTGGAAATTTAGGATCCTGAAGCTACATGTATGACTGATATTTGGTTCATTCTTATTCTATTAAGGTAAAAAGCACAGTTCTGACAGCAGTTTGTGCTGTAGTACAGATTCTAGCTCTTATATGGTGAGTTTAAATTCTTTAAGTCTTTAAATTACTTGTTTACCCATATCTAATACTAACTTCAGCTGTAACACTGAGATATTTTGTAACTAAGGTGGTAAAAACCCCATCATTTAGCAGATTAATGCCCCCATTTTATATGAACATTCAGGGGTAATTCAAGCTTAGTTTAGAGAACATTCACCTTTAAGATGATGGGGATCTCATGGTTGATGAGTTGTCCACAGTGCCTTTATTTGTCACTGTATACCTTGTTTTTACTAGGTACTTTGTCAGCTATATTCCTGGTGGTTCTACGGGCATGAAGTTTTTCACCAAGCTGTTCTCATCTGCCGTGACCAAGACCGTTTCCAGCACTCTCCCTGTGTAACAGTGAACTATTCCTGGTGTTGAATGTCTTAAGGGCACTTGATGTTTTCTAGATCATCAGTAAAGCTTCAAAGTGCGAGATGTCATAGTATTTTACTGAACAGGCTATTCCAATCCAGCACGTGGTTCCTAGAATATGCAGTTGGTGTAGTTGGGTTGTGTCCAGCTTTGGTAATTTCTAACCAGCAGTACAAGGGCTTGGAAAGAGAGCTCCAGTATATCCTTGAAAGGAATTTATGGTCAACATCTGGTGAAGTGATACGTGCTTTCATTTTTGTGTACTTAACAACCGGACATGCTGTCTAGCACTATTTACATCTACTGGCAAGGAACAACCAGATTGGTCCATCTACAATGCCTCGGTTTGAACTCTAATCAAATTTAGATTCTACCATATTACCAGATTACATAAAAATGTGGACATTTCTTGGAAAATATAATGCGTCCAGAAAATGACTCTGCTTGTCAAACCAGTAGACCGGAAGATGAAGACATAGTACTCTAACATTTTATTTTAATATAAATTAAATTTAGGAACTGAGAAATATATGATATTTATTACATTCATACGTTTTAAAGCTGCATATGGTTTTAGATAGCCAAGTAAGTTTACATTCAACCATATTTATAATGATTGTAAGGAAAAAGCTTACAAAAGATATGAGATAAACCAGTATCCAGTGGGTACACGTGGTCAATTACGTTAACTATTTGACTGAGATTCATGAAGTGGATAACCCCATCAATTTTTAAACATCATGTTGTTACTAAGCTTCATCCAGGGTGATACCAGAAAGTGTTTTGCATATCTTGCTAAAATATAAGTTAAAGATATGCTATGCATTTGAAATCCCTATGGCTTGGCTTTACCAGACAAAGTGACCGACCGATGCCGTTATTGTGAAGTCGTTTGACTACCGGCCTTTTCCTTGGCGTTGGCGCGGAGGCTGCCCAACACTCTCCGCCCAAAAAAATAAAAAGGAAAACATTCCTAAACTACTATCCCGGTATTCTGGGATTACTAAAATTTATTTGGTAGTATACTATCGTGTTGTGCTTAGTTTCATTACACGGTTTGTCTTCCTCAAACTTTGCATGAGGTTAGGGCAACAATATGTGATTGGCTGAAAATCCCAATAGGCCATATTACAGTTGTGTGCTCAGTGCCCTGCCCTTTGAATAGAAGCGAGGATGGCGGTGACCTTGTTTTGTTACAAACCTTCTTGTTTTTCGTATGTAGATGATCGTGTTCATGGGCTTGTTAGCATGAGAATACCACGATTTGCACATGAAAAAGTAGGAGGGTTTGTAACAAAACAAGGTCAACGCCAGCCTCGCTTCTATTCAAAGGCCAGGGCACAGAGCATACAACTGTAAAATGGTTTGCACGCGACATGGCGGCCATGTTGGTGAACACGAACAAATGCATTTCTCTCCAATAGGAACTAACTCCATTTTCGTGTAAATTTATCGAAAATAAATTATTGTATTGACCAACAACATGGCCGCCTTGTCACGTGCTTGCAAACTAAGAATTAAATTCTTGCTCTTGATCGCATCATTCTTCGAATACTGTTCTTCCAGAAAGGCGACTTTGGTTTCTCCCACGATAAAGAAAACATGGCTTTAAAGTCAAATGGCTTGAAAAATTCCAGGCGATGGCTAAAAAGAAATAACAGAGGAGTTAGTTGATGAATATTTTGCCAAGCATTCAATTTTAGTTATTTATCAACCACGCGCCCAGTGAAATCAAACTGTCATTGGCCAGAGCATGTCACGAGGAAGGGTTACCAAGTGATGTTGTCAGATGTTTTAGTTAAGTAATGATCCAGGTAAGAAGGGAAGCAATTTCTTTTGTTGTGGCGCAATACGCTTTCCTCAAATAGAAATGTTTTCATTTTTACGCAGAGAATGCATAAACCTACAAAAAGGCAGTTTAAGAAAGAAAATGTATTTAAACTCCACTTTTAAAGGGTGTATTTTTGTGTTAAAACATTTCGACCAATCACAAGACTTGCAAACAATGGCCAAGAAATGTTCACAATTTTACATGATCCGCACATACGATTTCTGTGTTACTTAGACTCAGACGAGAATTTGTTATAAGGAAGTGGGATAGAAAAAAAAGGGATTAATATACATGCTGTTTTGCGAAGATTTCGTAAAATTTGATGTTTAAACCAATCAGAACCTTAATAGAGACAATAGTAAAGTTAGCACCTTTTTGCATTCCGACGTGTTCACTGCGTTTTGGTCCTTTCCTTCTTATCTGGACCATTACTTAATAACCTTTTTTATCAAACATTGTACTCACTATCTGTCTTTTCATTGGCTACAACTGGTTTTGAAAATCAGAGCAACCTACCCTAATCTGTAGGGGTCGCGCGCAATTCATGATTTCCAGTACCAATATGAATTTAAGTTACTTGCGACGGTGTGTTTGTCGTTATTTTCTTCAAAACTACGTATAATAAAACAATTTTTAGATTCGGTTTTTGTGATATCCTAAATAATCAAGGTCTCGGTAAGTGTTATCAGCGAAGGCTCCGCTGATAACACTTACCTCGACCTTGATTATTGCGGATATCACAAAAACCTCATCCAATAATCAGTGTTTTTAAAATTTCCCGTAAGACAAATGAAAGCCTCAGTATTTCGACGAAGAGGATACTCGAACTCGAGATGTTTGTTTGAAATTCGCCGGACAATTAAAAATAGGGGAAGACTTGCACTTTTTTTTTCACGCGGACTACTAGATGACAGGCAGTTCAAAACTTACTATGTGTCGAGTGCTCGTTTTTAAGACAGTATGATTATTATTTAGTATTTACGAACAGCTTTCATCGTACGATGGCTATCCATTTTTTCGTAACCTTCGAAATGTTTCCAAACTCAACACCCTAACTTTCTTAGGCAAGTGTTAAATCCTCATCGATAAGTGAAAACGTTTTTTTCTGTGTGGAAAAGATAAACAGTGAGCTTTTGACTAGTCAATGCATAATCGTATAATTTACGATACAATGCGATCATTTCACTCACAAATCAGGATCGCTGACATCAGCCGATGCAGGATATAATGACTCGTATCGCCGATTGACCCCAGACCCGTGAATGGCATATGCATTGATTCTCCCCACGTGTGGTGGGAGGTAGTCGATCGGAATTATTGCAGTACCATTCCATGTGTTCTTTGTGCGGTCTATTTTTGCTGTGTACTCTATAGGCATCTTATCCTGAGACTGAATAAGAAAAAGATTTTTTTTCTTTCAGACAGTGAGATACAAACCAATTTGAAAATATGAAACAATTAGAAAATAAGTTAAACACAATATTGAAAGTACATTCAGAAGAGCTTGCGTATCAAAGCCCAAAAAGGCGTCAGTCACGGCACGCCATGCATTGAATTTAAAAAGCAACAAACATTTAATTCAATACTGGTTAGTATTTAAAACAAACAGCCAACTTAATTGATATTCGGAGTCTTTTTGCCATTTGATTTTTCCAGACTTTTTGACTTGCTCTTTGTGTCGGATTACCCTGTTCAGTCTGTGCTTTAAAGCTACGTTACAACAGGTAACAAAAATGAGCAACTTGTTTTGTAACATTGCTGGAAAATGAATTGAAAAGCGGTGTTGTCCGTTTTACCATCCCGAATCACTTGTTTTGCAATAAATCAGGTTGTTGCAGGTCGCGGAAATTTGTTGCAAAAAGTATAACTACTCTCTACTTTCTGCAACAACTTTTCGCAACCTGCAGCAACCTAGCTTGTTCCCGACGTTTAGATAGTAGAGCGCGGCGGTAAGTAGGGAGCGAGTTTCCCCCTCTAGTCTCCCCTCGTTTTTTTTTCTTCGTGAATTGTTTTCCCGCGTTCAAACAACCTGATTTATTTTCGTGGGTGGTAAAACGCGCAACATCGTTTTTTTAAACACGTTTTCAGCAATTTGTAAGCTCAATTCACATGTGTTCTTACCAAAAATGGCTTCCTTACTCCATTCAGTAAAAGAAGCAAATGTTGTCCATGCCTAAAAAGGACAAAAGTCATAAATCTGAAGTTTGTTAAACAGTGAAGCCTCAGTATATACAGGGACTCCCACATGATACTAAGCGACAGCCCGGTTTAACAAGTGACATTCGTCATAGAGCAGAAATGTACCGGGTTTTTTTGACTCTCTCCCTCGGAGTCTTCAGCGTTTCAATTTTGTAATCAGAAAATTACAGTATACAGAATAAACCTGTTGTAAGTGCAAAAAACTGGTACGTGATTCTCTTCCAAGTGGATTCGACACATATCCAAATCAATCTTGATAGTGTCTAATAGCACGTGGCCGCTTATATTCGCAAAAATGTCCTCGTGGGAGTTAATTAACACTATGATAACCGCCATTTTAATATCTACACGTAGTATCGCTCTGGCTATGGGCGGAATGTAAAACAGTCATTCCCAACTATGGTGTAAACCTAACCTGATATAGCGCATTCTATATATAAATTAGTATTATCCCAGAACGATCGAATATAAACAGGATACAATATAATTATTAGCATGCAAACCAACGGAGATAAGACAATCTGATAAGAGACTTACGGGCTCAACTCGACTTCCAAGTATTTCTCGTTTTTCCCAAGAAAAAACACCTCGGCAACTAAAATAGTCAAAAGTATAGCATATGTTTGAAAATTCTAAAATGACAGGTTAGATGATATCGAAATGACATTAATGTAAGCTCGTTAACGTGTTTAGTTCGTCCCATTTCTGAGAACCCTAATCAAAAAAGCCTCAATGATTTCTTTGGCTTTAGCTACCAACGATGCTTTGGAAGTTGACCACGTTTATCTTTTTCTTGAAAATTGCAAATGGCGGTTTCAAGAAAATTGCGTCCAGTTTAAAATAACCTAGCAAAAAGTGTTGCCCTTCAATTAATATTTCCAAAACACTATTGTAAACCAGACCTTTTTGAAGCTGCTCGAAGAACTGACACTGTAACTTTGCCTTAGAACAGTGAGGATTTTACCTTCGTAGTTCCACAATCCGTCACAAGCGCTTCCGGCCGCGCATGGTGGTGGCCCTGGGTCATTGAAGAAAGGTCCACTGACAGATACAAGTACATTACGAGAGTCCTGGGCACTAATTTGGAAGACGATTGGCGCGTGATTGATTGGGGCACCATTCCATTCAGTGTTGATCGAAAAATTGTACTCCTGGGAAAATACAATACAATACATCTTTAATCCATATTGTCCACGGTATATGAGTGAGCTGCGTTTATGAAAACCCAGAGGAAGTTTCCTCATATCTTCATCTGATCCTCTTTATTAAGATTTTCAATTCTAACGTTGTTAATAGCCATGAGTAACTATTGTCTCTTCCTGATTTTTACCTAAACGCAGTTGAGAATCGCCTGAAATCCTTTTAGAATTAAAATTCTTGATTCGGGTTCGGGAGGCAAAACCGACAATAAAATGATGAAGAGCAGAAGCGATCAACAGGTACCTGTTTCTTCACGAGTACCAGTAGCTGAAAAGAACACTAGGTTTTGATTTAGCTCTAAGAGAATCGAAACCCAGACTATCCTAAAAGCATACCTTCGGACAAGACTGAACGGTGGAGACAGCTAGAACAGAAAGGGCAAATGCAACGGAAATCCGCCAGAACATTACTTAAACGTCTGTAAAGAACTGGTAGTGTTTGTCCCAAAACACGTCTTCTTCGACTCTAAGTATCACTATGAAATGCTTGGGTATCACCCCGACGTATTTTATGGATGAATTAGATATGCTGTAGCACACTTTGAGATGCCACTTTCGATCTACAATGTCAAATGTTATCCTTTTGGTTTCACAACTGTGTACACAGTAAAAAGACCATGACATCATGTTTGGACAGACACTATCGTATGACAAGTAGCTGCTGAACATCTGCTGGGAAGTCTGGTTTCTTTAAATAGATAAACAGGTGTAGGCAAGCTTTTTGGAAGGATAGATAGATAGTTTAATTACCAATGCTTTGCAGCCCAAAGGCTGAATTTCGCATTTACCAGTGATGCAGTCGATAAAATGGTATATAAAACTAGGTACAGTAACTATGAAAGTGTGAAAAAGATGATACAAAGTCTAAAAATCTTCGTATATATTATATATTATTAAAACAAGATCTAATAATACAACTTTTCCTAAAACGATCTGTCTGGCATTTAGGTACAATGAAGCATCTGTTGCACCTTAGAGCATAACGTGGCGGTCCACTAAATGGTATTTAACTGTTCAGAGGGTGTTCAGGGTCCTTTACAATGGTGTCGAAAGTATTACTACATAGCCCTGTGATGAAATCTACTGTAGGAACAATGTTCACCAGTTGGATAGCCTCCTGGTGGGGCCATCCTGGGCATATTATAGACATTACCCGCTTTTAAACTCGCACCAAGTCTTCTTTTAGGTACTTTGGCAGGGCATAAAAAAGGCGGGTGTAACGTACGTAAGAACAGAGCGTGTACAAGCAGATTGAAAAGTGGACATATCCTGCCAAGGAACTCTCGATCTCTTTAGCTGCACCAAAAAAATACAGACGCTTCGACGCTTTGTTGGTCAGACGTAGAAGTTTAGCACTAGTCACCTTCTTTAGCTCATTACCATCTACTACAATAGTCGCAAACAGGGGCTCATCCTTTACAAAAAATATCCTGAGCCCCTTACACTTGTCGCTATTGAGTTTGATACTATTCTGCGTAGACCACTCCTCAACCTTATCCTCTAGGGTTGCGTCTTACGCAAATAAAGCTTTTATTGCGTTTTCAAGCTTATCTTACTGTACTGTTTTTCCACACCACCGCAAACTGAAATTGTTAATAGAAACCGTTCTCTAATTCCTCTCTTTTTATCTAGTGCATCAGATGTATTATAGGAATTAATAATTTACATTGTGTGGCGTTTCCAAATTTCTGATTAATAAGAAAAATGAAGTTATAATCAATAGCAAAGTGGACAACGGCAAACGTTGACTAGTCATATGGCAAATATACTCAAAGGTTCTCCTACCGAGGACGACGTAAAAAATGGCAGATGAAAGAAGGGTGAACTGTTTTCTGGATGTAAACTACAGAGTCGCCTTACCTTTTCACAGAACTGGCATGCTTTTGGACAGTTGCGATTCATAAACCGTCTTTGATAAGTACAGTAGTTCCTTTTAGCAGCAAACATTTGACACCTCCTCCTTTTATCGACGCAATCTACGGACAAGAGTAGTATGGTAGCTTTGACGGTTGACGGTTAAATTTTAGAACTTTTGACGGTTGACGCGTAGGGTTATTTAGAGGAAATTTAGTCCAAGAGTTTAAGAAAATATGAATTTCTGTATTACGTTTTTTGAGTTTGTCTTAGCCTTTCACTTATGAAATTTTGAAATATTTTCAGATATAAGCAAGTTGTAACGTCTTGTAATGTCTAAAGCACGTAGAGAGAGTGTTTTGAGAACATGGAAACTGGTTTTTCCAGTTAAAAGATTCTTCAGAAGCCAAAATTCCGTGAAGATCAGCTGAAAAGGTGAGATTTGAAATACCTGGAAGCTTCTTGACGGTTAATATTAATCTGTATTTTTGACGGATGACGGTAAAAAAATTACCTTTTTGTCAGCTGACGGTTAACCACATTGAGACCCCCTAATTTCATTGCGTGTATTTCATTTCTTATACTGAACTACACATAGGCAATATTTCATGACAACTATAGTCATTAATTCACCAATTGCCTTTTCACTCTTAGGATGATGTGATCGTTTGTTTTAAAAAACAAAAAGGCATTAGACAGAGCATAGTGTGCCCCTAAAAATTGCAGAATCATGCCGCAAGTATCCTGATCATCTCATTTGCTAGTAATTACAGCATGGAGTCATAGACCGGATTTGAAGAAAACACCATTGTGCTCTTGGAATGTTTCTTAACAGTTACGATGTCTTAGCTTTTATTTCTTACCCCTAAATGGTGGCGCCGGTGGCAAGACATCCACTATAACGCAAGAAATATGTTAAGATTGTACTGCTTACTCATTTGAATCTTACACTAATCTTCATATTTGTTGTTCGTTCAGCTTTTGAAGTCGCATTTTATGATCCCAAAAACGCATCTTCTTTCTTTATATTTAATTTCACATACCAAAATCGAAACTGAATTTAAATTTCATTTTAACACCAGGGTAGTGTTGTTGAGGACAAGTCCAATGATATGTTGTGACCCTCAAGCTGGTATTTTAGCTCTTTTCATCTCTCTCTGCCAACTGGAGGGAAAGTTTTGGGTATTTCATAGTTCTAACATTTTGCAGACTAAAGGTCAAGGGATTTGTTTCTATTCCAAGCCCTTCAACCTCTTCACCCTCTGCTAACTTGAGGGAGCGCTTTAAAAACCAAAAGGAAACACTTAGTATGGCAGCAAGCAAACATGTAGGCAGCTAATTATCTAACATTTCTGAAATTAAAATACTCGTTATTTTTACTGCAATACCTAGTAGCCATAAATTGCATGCCTTTTGCCAATTACAATTATTATTATTATTATTATTATTATTATTATTATTATTATCATTTAATGTTATGTTAGTAATTAAAAAATAAGTTATGACTTAAATACCGTTTGCCTCTGTATTGCGTGAAGCGTTGCGGGTCTCTAAATAAACAGAAAGAACCAACAGCGATAAGTTTGTTAGACTGCGTTAATATCCTACCCATCCTGTGTTTGAAAGCCCTGTTTAGGTTAAAAAACTCGTCTCATTGTCTTGTATGATGAAATAGGATAAATCTTACCGTTACATAGATCACATGACTTTGGACAGTTTGTTTTCATAAACAGCCGATTGGAAAAACAGTAATCTTTGTTATTTTCGACTAGCGATGAGCATATTTCCAAAGCATCAGTACACCCTAAATAATTGGAAAAGTAAAATATGTTAGATAACATTGCAAATCCCGCCCAGTAAGTAAAAAGAATGTACTGAACAAATGAAAGTTCTGTCTTTACTGGTTTTCTCATACCGCAATATCCACATGTGCTGGCACAATTTTCCTTCATAAATTCAGGCTTTGTTTTGCAGTATTCCTTGTCCTTTGTGATGAGATCTCTGCACTCCTTAGGCATTTTATCCTCACAATAAAGATCCACATCTAATCGAAAAGAGTACTAATCAGTGAAAGATTTAGCATAATTGCACAAATAAACTTCTGAGACACATGCATTTATCGTTTCTTTACAAACGTCACTCCCTGACTCTACATTTAGTTTGTATTTTTATCCCTGCTATGTTTGAGTATGATGATCATTCTTCACTTTCATCTACAACCGCAGTTCGAAAATGAATTATTTCATATACTTGACATCATTTCACTCCTCACACGAGATATGAACTCAATAAATTGACCTCGCTGCCAATGTGTGGCTTCATAGCTCAGTTGGTACAGCAACGCACCTGCAACGCGGAGGGAGGTCACGGGTTCGAATCCCGTTGAAGCCCTGATTTTTTCAGGCTTCTTCTTTCCAATTGCTTAAATTGGAAAATTTACTGCGATGATCATTCTTCACTTTCATCTTTTATGTTTGAGTATGTTGAATTATTTGTTTCAGCCATTTACACGGCCCCACTGGCATAAGTGCTATAAATACCCCTGAGGGTAAATAAAGGAATTATTATTATTATTATATTTATATAAATCTTCACCTCTTACAGTAAGGGGGCCAATAAGTAAACTTTGTGACGTTGGGGCCTCTTCGTTCGCTGCCTATTTTATGCCAAAATATATTTAAAATGTCTCACCATCCTTTGAATCACTCTGTAATAATTTGCCTTTTGGTAAACATAAAACTCTTGGTAAACATACAAAAATATAAGAATTTTCTTTATGACCTTTACTCGATTTGAAGTAACGAGTGCAACGCAGACATTTTAAATACTGACTTCTTCGTTCACTCATTTATTGTTCATACCACATAATTTGCACGTCTCAGGGCAGTTCGTCTCCATATATTCCCGGAGATCGCTATTTCTGCAGGATTGTGGGTCGTCTGCAACTATCGAAGCGCATTGCTCTGGATTGACGTCCGCACATCCTTAAACAGTTACACCATTCAAGTTAGCTTTAATTTCTTGGCAATGTTTAATGAAAATAAGTAAAAGGCAAGTGAAATTTGTACCTGAAAACAAAATAAAATGTCATGTGACAATTTTTTCTAAGCAGCTCCCCAAAACACGGCTTTGTTTTGTAGGACGTGTATCACTTCTATACTGCTACCTTTCGAAAAGATCTTATAAACAATACCTAAATATGTATGCAAAACAGTTAACTGTATTTAAGAAAATACCTATTGGTCCAGGAGGAAGGATGTTGTCTGTTGTCGGCTTTCTAGTTGTACGTGGCGTTGTAGTGACCGCTGTGGTTAATGAAGGCAGTGTAGTTGCTGAAGGTTTAATCGACGTTGTTTTAAGAGTTGGTGTAATGCCAATAGACGAAGATTTTGGAGCTGGCGTAGACTGAGTCGACATAGTTTTAGGAGATGGAGTTGAAGAGGATTGTGTAGCTGGAAACAAAGTTGAAGACGATGTAGCAGGTGAAGATGTTGAAAAATCGGTTTTTTTTTTAATTGAAAAAGCAAAATTATCATTATTAGTGAAAAAATATGAAAAATCTATCTTTACTAGGTGCCTCAAAGTAAGTCAAGGTGTTTTAAAGTAACAAAATCCATGATTAAAATAATCATCAAAGGGCCCAAGCAGCAACGCATTTTAGGAATGGCCTACTGATGGACCGTTTCTTGCAGTTACATAATTTTAGAAGCAACAGTTGATCTAGAATATACCTTAATTGTGTAAAAAAAAAAAAAAAAAAAAAAACAAAAAACACTTACCACAGAGACTGCAAGACATTCTACAATATTTGGTCAAAAATGCTGATGTCCTACACTCCTCTGGACTGGTGATAAATGAAGCGCATTCAGGCAGAATGTCGTAGCATGCTGATGAGCAAGTAAAAGTTCAATAGCATTTTAGAAGGGGAACATCGTTCTCTCATCTCAAAGCATGCACGTGTCTGTAGCTGTGAATCGAGCTGTTTGTTTTTTTCGTTTGATAGACGTCTTTCATTCTTTTAAAGAAGGTATCGAATTCGATTATAGAAGACGATTAAGATAATCTACGAAGAGTGTAAATGAAAATAAATAGGCTCCTCAAATTCATATTTGTGGCTCTGTTAATTTTTTGATAAAGGGCCTTTCTTGTACGACACAAAATACATTTCTCCAGTAAGGGACTGGAACCTACCCAGGTGTTGTAGCGGCGCTGTTTTAATTCTCCAACTTTTGGATGCTACTTTAAAATCTTCTGACACCGAACTGTTTTGTAGAAAGGAAAGGCTAAAACCCATCTTTGTATAAAGGAACGAAAAAAACAAACAAACAAACAAATATATTGTGTAGAAGATTTTTTTTTTCACAGTTTCAGGAAAGTTACGATTCTTTCACTGAAAGGCTTCACAAAGACGCTACGAGTTGAGGCCCTTATCCCAGAAGATGTGTAATTTTTACAGTTTTACATATAGACTTTTACAGAAACTTACAACAGTAGCCGCACGTTCTTGGACAGTACTTCATAAAAAAATCTTTAGCTTGGTGGCACTGAGACGAGGACTCAATATATACTGCGCAGTCTGATAACAAGTCTTGGCAAACTGTTGATGGAAAAAATATATAGAAAAAATTTTAAAAAAATTCTGACACCCTCAAAACCCGAATCAAGCCATTTCAGCCAAGTATTTGTATTATTCTTTCAAAATATTTTCCCGATTCTGATTGGCTAAAAGCACACGCCTAATTCACCATAACCAGTTATTATATTACTGAAGACCAAATTTGGAAAAATTTTGTGTTTAACGCGGAAATGACGTCAAAAATGCAGCGTTCTTGCAGGTTAATGCACTGTTAATCGAGAAGACCTGGGGACGAGTTTGAGTTACTTTTGTTGTGAAAACAAAAAATGGCGGACATTTCACTCGTTTCAAGAGTAAGAAGTAGGCAAAATTATTGCTAAAAACATGGCAAGAACAGCAAGAAGACAACTCGAAGGGCGACATCTGCTATTTGGAGAATATTTACAGAGCTGAACAACCCTAAACGTGCACTATCGAAGGTGAACTCAACATCGATGGAGGTAAGCATGTTTTAGATTTGTTTTTAAACAAGAAATTATTTTGAGTGAATAATAAAACAATTATTGAATTCGGCTTTCGTATCATATGAAGAATTATGGAGATCTCGGAGGGTGTTATCCGCCTCTGCCTACGGCCTCGACGGATAACACCTTCCTCGATCTTCATAATTCTTCATAAGATACTCAGCCTCATTCATTAATTGTTCAGTATGACACTTAATTACAGCCATAGTCATATTATGGCCTTTACGGTACGCAAACTGGTTATCCACCTTTTGAACAACTAGGGCCAGTTCTTTAGTTTATGTTATTGTGTAACTTCAATAATAAAAAAAGAAAGTCACAGCCTTAGAATGCAAAATAGTACATAAATGTCTTTTTAGATTATAGACAGTGGATTCTTCGGGAAATTTTGTGATAACCTTATCAGTTTTACTAAACTTGAGTATAAGCTCAGTCATGCAGGAAGCAGGCCATAGTACTCACCTGACCCCAGTGGGGGAGCTGTTGTACCTTCGAAAAAAAAAAACAAAACAAAACAAATAAGTCTCTTTTAAGAGGATTTCAAATTAGCGTTGTCGGCGAGCATCATAATCACATAATTTGCATCATTTTAATTACCCTAAGATGAGAGTTAGAATTAACAACTATTTTGACTACTTTTACGAGACAGCTGACTTGGCGTCTAAGAAGATCATCATTCTCTAACGACTAATCATCAGTGGTATGCTTTAAGTGATGCGAACATTACAACAGCTTATGACTCCACAAAAAAACGCTGTGAGAATAATAACAATTGTGGCAGTTAAGAAAGTTGTGTATAGGGGGAGGGAGCCTCAGCCACAACCAATACAGGGACAGATGGATCCCTAAGTGACTAGAGTTGACCATTTGCAATGGTGGAAGCGCCCTAGCTCCCTCCTCCATAAGACTACAGCATTTGTGTACTCACAGTAGTTGCATGATTTAGCACAGTACTGTCTGGTAAGGCCACTGTAGGTTTCACATTCATCATTATTAAGGTAATCAGAACAGTCAGGTAACTGGTCTTCACATGGCTTTCCTGTCGAAAGAAAACCGATATCGTACATTTGTTCTTCGGCATGTCACAACAATTTTTGACTAAGTTAAACTTTCTTAACGCCAATGTCAAACAGGGTTAAACGTGGTACCGTTGACCTCTATTTACGGTCATGCCTAAAATATAGGAAACCGGCATACAAGCATTTTATTTGGCCATGATAAAGAGACAGTAATCCTCAAAAACTCTACCATCAAGAAGCTCTTAAGACACCACAGTTTTCGTGAACTTGACATCAGTTATGCAAGAGACGCTCAGGAGACCAAATCTGTTTGAACTTTATCGCTTTATTTCTCAATTTAAGACTCTTAATTCTTGAGAAGGCCAAGTTTCATATTGACGCCGTCTGTATTTTACGAACACTGATGCAAAGGACATGTTTAGTAAGAAACGCAGATGTCTACTCTCGCTTTAAATTTTAGTGGGCAGCTAACAAAACTAAAATATCGCTGGATTTCGCATGGGCCGAATATCTAGTTTTCACAGGTGGAGTTCCATAGAAAATGATGATAGAAAACTTTTCAATTTCACTTCAATAAAGTCACGTGATTTTTTTATTGATCTTGACCGGGGTATTATATATATTAAGTATGTGGTTAGTAAGGTTAAGAATAAGAGTCTAGCGGTTTATTATAGTATCTGCCGCGATTACGTCCTTTTTTTGTCGCTTTTTATTGCGGAACTGACCGCGGAAATAGTGTTCGTTATTCCTAGGAACCGCCCAGAAGAGCGGTAAAACTGCAACTGCAAAAAATATCACCTTATTCCTGGGGGGGGGGGCTTGTATAAGGGAGTACCACCCGGGCCTTATTCTAAGTTATCTTAGGAATACTAAGTATTAAAGACATTTCTTATTGTAAGTGGAAAGTTCAAAATAATTCGAGTTGGCAATTGCAGTTGGGAAGGTGATGAAAACATCTTGCGCTAATAAATCAATTGAATTTTTTCTTCCTCCTTTTCAGATATTATAAACTTTAGATTTTGACTTTAACCGAGATTATCTGCTGGCTAATAACTGTTTTTCTAAAAAGCTCCGCTAAGTCTGATTAACATAGGATTCAGTTTATTTATCTTCCTCTGTGCAAATTGTGTATGTAAAATGTAAAAGGTATTTTACATTTCATGTTTCAAGCAAACAAAACTATTGCCTCTACTGTTCAACGAGATTCGATACATCGCTATCCTCCTAAATAACTACTTAACTCTCGTAAAAGCGCCAAATTTAACGTAGGATGACTCTCTTTATTTGTTTAACATGGATACAAGTGATTCCTTTTTTTTATCAGGCCGACAAAAAAGACTCAATATAAGCATATGACATTGTGCTAAGAACATTTGGATTTATAAACAGTTAATGAGCTTGGTGACACATCACGAACAACTAAAACTAATGCTCTCAAAATACCAAGAAAATAATTTACGTTAAGTATGCTATGGGCAGTATGGTTCAGTTCCTAAGCAATAGGCGAATAACCAATTGAATTGTCTTTTTTTTGAACGGCACATTACATGGTCTGTCAATTGCCTTAAGTATGTTACATGCATAAATTATAACGAAAATATAAAAACATTGTCGCTTCAGGTATGCATTGTAGCAGACTGTCTTAGACTAATTAAAAATTCCCTTACAAGATTAATTAAAACTGGAAGGTAAATGCCTTTTTTCTAAGAATCCGGACAGCGTAACGCTTATTTCATCGTTTATAAACCACTATTGAATAGAAAAGGATGTGGATTTAGCGTGTAGTTAAAACGGATAAAATATCCTTTAGAGATGTGGGTGACCATCCGTGAGACTGTAAAGTCTTTGGTGCTCAGAGTGCTGAAAACTGGCGGAAGGAGACAACTTGAATTCATTTCAGTCTTCAATGAGCTTTCAACGGGATTATTTCCCAATACTGCCGTGATTTTGTTGGCAAGCTAAGGTGTTAATGATGGAAGAGATAACAGAGTTAACAAACTTTATGTTTCTCTAAAATAATAAATATTCAAGCAGGATGCCTGCTGCATTGAAAAATATGTTTACTATAAACATACCTTGTGCTAAAGCCTTCCACGTGCCAAGATGCTGTGAAGCGACAGTAAGGAGCCATAGGCGTGAAAAAAAGACATTCAACAAGTTCATATCTCATAACCTTTCATCAGAGTCACCCACTTGCTTCGCTTTGCAATGAAGAGCAGTGATATGCTCGATTAATCATGAGTCCCGCCAAACGTCTCATTATTAAGTGCCAGTGAATACTGTACAATAGCTAACACCGGAAGTCTGCCATCGAATCCTGTATATAAATGTGAGCTCCAATACTTGGGACATATTCATAGGGTTTGAGATTTTGACTTCACCACAAAAGCCTTAGAGATGCGGGTGAAAACTCCATCTATTTTGAAATTGTCCATCGCGTGCAAGCTGTCAATATGTTAATTGTTGTGTGTGTAATTTAATTGTTTTGCCCTGTTCAACTTAACGGATTTTTGGTCGAAAAAGGAGTATACGTGCGTACAAATGTGCAATTATCACTCAGGATATGGTCAGCGAGTTGATTACACATTTATAAGACACCGCACGACCAAACTGCGGTAGCCTTTCTCAGCTGTTATTTCATTGGATTAAAACGCTGTAAACATAAAGTGTGGCCAACGTATTTATTAATAGCCTTCGTACTGAACTTGTAACGAAAGCAGTCTTAATGGCTCATGACACACCTTCTTTACTTCCAAAAGTTAATATCGCTCCTTTAGCTTATTAAACAAACTTTACAAACCGCGTCAGTTTACACGAGGTACATTTCTGTGTAAAAGCTAAGCTGTGGCTTATTCAAAGGCCGGTAAAGGAGAGGGTTAAGAAAACCAGAAAGCCATAATCTCAACGGGTAGGAAAGTTGTGAGTGTACATACGGAAACCATAACCTTTTAAGCTTCTCAGACGCAGGAGATTGTTTGGTGTCTTTCAGCCAGGCCTAGAAAGTTGTAGTTTCAGTTAAGACAGTAAGGATATTTGGTCATATCCAGGATAGAAAGTTGGTATTTCAGGTTCCGGGCATAAATAGTAGGGGTTCTATGATAGAAAGAAGGGGTTTCGGTAAGAGATAGTAGGGGTTCCAGGCGTGAGCAATTGAGAATCCACATAGATAGTAAGGGTTCCAGGAGCTGTAGTATGTGTTCCATGGTATGGGGGATTAGATGTACTAGGGACCCTGTAAAGGGACAAACGTGGCAAGAAATGGTGAGGAAGAAAAGAGAGAAAAAACGCCAGGAAACTGGAGAGAGGAGTCAAGGTTTCCAGGCAAAACTCACCCAAGAGTCTTCTGGGGAATATTTTTTTGAGGTGACCGAGTACGTGAACAATTTTCAGTGGGGGACATTTAGTTGTTATGGCTATTGTCAATCAAGACTGAATTAGCCCTAAAGTGCGTAATACGAAAAAAAACAAAAAACAAAAAAAGCTTACCTATCGCAGTGTCTTAATAATATTAACTGCTACAAAGTCATCTTACGTCATTTAGACTATTTATACTGGTTGTTACTGTAAAAAACTTGTGAGTTTATATAGCTTCGGAACGTTTCTAGATTCCCGAGAAACGTGCTGGAAAAGTGTCATTGATTTTTCGGTGCTTCTTCTACTGACATTGGATGAGGGAATCGTCGATTCCGTCGTCTTGTTAGGAGGCTGATGAGAAAGTCAAAGAACTCGAAGATAGTTAACAGGCTGCACCCCAAGAATAAACCCATACTACCTCCTATATCACCTGAAAAATGAGCAGACAATCCAAATAGGTCTATTAGCCCAATGACAAAAGTTGTGTATAAATGGAATTTGCTTACATCAACTGTGTATTGAAACATTAATCATATAGGTGGTTTTCAAGCAATCTCGGGAGACACAAATAAAAATGGTGAAATGAACAAATGCTGGTGGACAAACAAAGCGAGCTAATGAGCCATCTTTTGTTTACCGTCCACCAGCATGGCGGCGATGACGTAACGTGAAAACCACCTATTGCATCCTGTTCACGTAATGAGACTGGCTAGTCAATGCGAGTTTTTAAGTTGATGATTGTGTAGAATATTCATTTTTCTATCCTTTTGTCCATTAACTTTTACTTGGAGACCTTGTTAAAGCTCACGTATTTACAGGTGAAAACATTCACGCAGATGACTTGATAAAGACACTCAATAAAGAAGGGGATTCGTTGTTTTTTGTCTAGAACACTAAGATGGCGGGTGTAATGTCACGTGCAAATTAGCTTATAGTTTAATATCTTAATGAGATGTTATCCGCGTTCATATACTTTCCCCCAAGTTAATGTAATTCCCCCCAAAAATGGATGCATATGAACAGGATCATGCGTTATGAGCTCCTAACATTGTTATACGAAGGTACGCATTGACTTTGCTCGTTGCCACTTCTTAGTTTACTAGGGCTAATAAGGTACTCAATTTGAATAATACTTTACCAAACAGAGAATTGATATCATAAGCTGGTCTCTGTTCTTGCATCTCATAACTAAGTGATTTGAATCCAACTTGTAAAAGTAAAAGGTTATCCCTGTGGGGAAAAAGTAAATAATTTTTTTCAGTACCTTTGCACTTTCCTTTATCATAGCAATGACCTAAAAGTTAACCTCCTTTTACACGGACACTGAGGGAGCCATAAAAAGTGTCCGTATCAGGTTGAATTAAGACAAAATTTAAGGGCTTTGTTTCCCCAGGGACAAAGGAAACTGTCCGTGATAATGAGGTGTCAGTATTAAGCAGGTTTCCGCAAAAAAGGAATTACAGTCAAACCCCTGCTGACACTTCAGACTACTAAAAAAGTTCTTGATAATTTAGAGATAATTATTAAGTTTTAGTTGAGTTACCTTTGGTATTGGAAATCGCGGTTGTAGCCTTGCAATTGCAGGAGTTTAGCCATGCCAGGATTAGGAAACTTTGTATAGGACACTTCAGTGCTAAATTTGGTCTGATAACAGGGAACTTCACACTCACAGGACTTGCTGTTTACTTTATATAATTAAAATGTTCTAATTAGGAAATTAAAGACTGGGAAATAACTGACTGCATGTAGTTCAGCCAATAGGTTATATTTTGTTTACGTTTGAAAATATTAGAGAGATTTAAAGTCACGTTTATGGCAAACGGCAAACGACAGACTCAAGTTAAGTATTTCTCAAAATCGAGAACACGAGCTGATAAAAACAGTTTAAAACAATTCTTATGGATGAAAATAATGTGAAACTTTAGTAGGAAAGAACAGTTAAAGAGAAGTAGAGGGAAAATTATCGTTTGTCGTAAACATGACTATTCGAAATTTTCCCGGTGTTGCATCTTCATCTTTTCACCGGGGTTGGGAGGGTTCAGGGGCTCAAAAATCGGCGCCCTTAGTATGCTGATGTCCGAAAAATCGGTTCACCAAAGCATGTTGTTTGTCCTCTCAATCGCGACATTTAGAAAAAAAATACATAGAAGTAGACAAAAAGTCCAATAAAAAAACTAGTTGAGCATTATAATTGTATTTTCGCAGCACAAAAACGAAATGGGAAAACTTCGGCAAGTAAGTGCTTAAGGTGATGGAAAACAGTCATTCCTTACCTAAAACTTTTGAAACACAGTCTACCTGCTCTTCCGTTACGCATGCGTGCATCTCGGGAACCTTCCCTAAAATAAATAAGGCGAAGAAACTTTAAAGACCCTCCGGTAGGGCACTGCGACAGGGCTGCATAAAAAAGTGCACCACGTTTTTAAAAGGTTTTCTTCTTTTTATCGCATATTAGAAATTTACTGCTTTCGGCTGCAACTTTGGATTTTATTTGTGTCTTGGAATATGGAGAAATTGAACGAGCAAACTAGGCGTTTCAGTGATAGCTTTTCGCCTTAATATTTTGATCCTGAAAGTGGAAAGTAGTATGTTAGGGATGAAATAAACCCTTTTTTGATTAATCTCCCATCTCTTGTATTATTAATACAACAGAAACAATAGCCTCACGTAACCTCGACTGGTTTATATCGGTTTAATAGTTTTTTGCTATTTTAGGTGGATGATGTCGTAGTTTATTTTTAATTATGTGCCTCATACTGTTTATATCTTGTTATGCAACCACCTGTGACTTAAAATCACCGAGTTGTAAAGCAAGTTCTTCTTTCTGCCTCTTTCATTGTCTAACAATTTTTAAAGTTCCGGTTCAATGCTTCTTGGCGGCCAAATCGTGCATATGAACGAGGGCGAAGGCAAACTAACTCTTTATAGTACAAAACACAATGTTTTATTTATCCCACTCCCCCTCCTGCTCCTTCACAATTAATTGATCCAATTTATTTTTTATTTTTATTTTCCCTCCACCACATGGACCGCTCATCGAGCTTCATCGATCCTACAACATCAACCAAAAACTATTAAACTGATGAAAACCGGTGGTTGCCACGTGAATCTATTGTTTCTGTGTATTAAGAATCCAAGAGATGAGAAATAATGAGATTTCTGTGCATTTTATTCATGTGATAAAGACAAAAGGCTATGACGTCATCGACGCCCTCCTTAATGAGATGCCTAGCCAAAAACGGGATTAATTTCACCCCTACCATACTACTATGGGACGACTGCTCTGCCTCTAATTGCTCCCTTGTATTAGTAAACACGTTAATATTGTAGAAAGCCAGTTTACGCTTTGCAAACCATGTTTGTTGGGAATTGTTACTAACTTATGATTTGAACCTTCCAAGAAGTTCTGATGGATTTAAAATCAAATATCTTTCGTTAAAATTCGTAATTCTTTTCTTAATTCCTAGTACCTTTGTAACCAGAGGGTCGGCAATTACAATCCTTGATGATCATCTCAGCTTCACACTCAAAGAGACAACCTGCTGTTGTGTAAGTATCAAAGGTTTTCAAATTCTTCTTGGTACAATTGGTGGAGTACGGCTTTCCCAGATTCTTGTACTACATAATACCGAATCAAATTATTTAAAAAAATTAGAAGTCCAGTTGCATTGCTTCTCAGTCTTGATACAAGATCCTCTACCCTTTCCATCTACCGTTAACGTCACCACTTCATGAAATCTGAAATAGTATTCTTGGCAAAGAACGTAAGAAATTGTAACTTTTTTCGGCGGAGAGAGCAGGATCAAGGAGAATATTTATGTTTTTTATTGCTATTTGGTTTCTACTGTATAAGAATAGCCTTTGATACATGTTGCACCTATTTTAATAATTTAACAATTTTCAAAATTAAATGGAAAAAGGCGAAACTCGCTAGGACAAGTTTACCGTTATTTTTCTGTAATTTCTGTCTCAACAAATGGAACAGTACAACTATGACCACGACGATACAAAAGGATAGATTGTGAGAAAGAAATGAAGGTTTCATTGTCTTCTCCTAAAAAGGTTATGACACGAGGGTATTTCTTTCTTAGGAGAGTCTACTGATTCCGTTATGAAGTTGGCCCACAATTTTCAAGTTTCGATCCAATCCATGTCCATCCTTGCCATCCGTTGCAACGGTAGTCTGCCACAGGCGTTTTTAGTGTCGTCACGCAAAGCTCTTCCATCGTGGGGAGGAACTAAAAACGGCTGTGTAGCAGACTATTGCAACGGAGGAAAGGAGACAGTTTCAATTTTTCAAATACAAATGATGTGAAAAAAAGTTAGCTTTTTAAAAAGATAACAAACAGCGTGACACGCAGCCACTTTCATTGAAGACAAGTGGGGAAAGTTACCCTTTTCTCCGAAAGCACAATAGCAGCATGCTGTCCTGGCCCAACGTTGATTCCTTCCCATTCATCGATGAATTCACCTTGCTTATGAATCACTACCTTGAATCCTTCTGAAAGCTTTCCAAAACTGTATTCTTCTCTTTGGACATCGAGAATGACAGCAAATCCAAATGATATGCCAGCACTGTTCACTCTCTTTATTTTGTCATTTTTACCTGAGTTAAAGGTATAACACTTGCCCCATTTAGTTTCCAAGGGAACAAAATCTCTTGCTGAGCAATGTATATTCTTTTTAAAGCTACATGCTGGGCCAATGAGAAAGTCTAGTTCTTGGCTGAAGTAACGATACATAACTTCTTTGTCGATATAATGGAGAGATTTTTGAATTTCACTCCAAAGATCATTACTGTATTGTCTTGTGCAGTTTGGTATAGCGGGGCGTAAATAGGCTTGAAATTCAGGCAAAGCGCAAAGAAGTGACCATCCACAAGGTCTATCGCCTCTTACTTTTGAAGTCACGGCACAGGCGCTAATATTTAACCCGGTGGAAGCAAACAATGGGTTGTCATCTGTCATGTATAGCTTGCTTTTAGCAAAGTCATTTTGAGGACAGATTGTGACTGCTGGAAAATCCATTCCTTCGACATTTTTCCTGCTTACTACAGTGTTGATAGGACGGTCGAAGTATGTAACGACAGCTGTGTAAACTGTAAAAATGTAAAATCCTCCAGAGGTCAGCAGTAGCACAAACCAGATTAAGCGAGTGAGAATGTGGCGCTTCTTAAAAACATATCTGACACCATGTAGTGTTGTGTTGTCGACAAACGCCTGCCACATTCCTTCTGAGAATGCCGCTTATTGCCAGTTTTTATTTGCTGTTGGAATTGAAGATTTTCAAATCGCTGTGGTGAGTTCCAGAAGAAAATTATACGACCTATTAAAGAGATTCGGCATGCCAAAAAAGTAACAGCTCATCAGTAAATTAATAACTGGTCTTCAACGAAATGCTTTTTTCCCAAAAAGATGAAACGTTCTTGTCCTTCATCGGGAGTCAATATTCGATTTTGAGACTTTGTCAACATTCAGGTTTAGAGGAAAGATTTAGCCATTTTACCAAATAGCTACCAAGGCTTCAATTCGTTTGTCGTAGAGGGAGGAAGACAACTTATAGTTTGGCAAAGGAGCGGGAGGGGCATGTTATCATGGTTGTATTGCCTCCTTTCAGCTTATTCAGTCAAGCGACATTGTCACTTTTGATCAGGAATCAAATTCAATTAATTGACGGCACCTTAACTGTGTACTGGTAACGCAATGTCGCTTTCGAAACACTTAATTTCATAGCTGATTGACTCTCAGAACGTTTTTCACTGTGTCTCACACATAACGCTTTTCGAAACTGATTCACGTCTTTAAGTCGGTCTGCCATAATTTGGATGGCGAACTGGGAGTCTCGAAGTTTGTGCCCGTGTTCACTCAAGCTAACATACTTGTAATCTAAATACTCACAAAGATACACAGAAGGCCGAGGGAACTTCTCAACTGTTTCAGCTGTTTTGAATCTAAGCTATGTCCGTGATACTGTTTCAGTCCTATTTTATTTTTAGAATGTTGAAAGATAAGGTCTCAGGTTTGGATTCGATAGAAACATCGTAGCATATTCGTCTCACAGCCTCTCAAAGTCCTTGAAAATTAATGTACTGTAATAATAACCCCATGCTTACCGTCACTTGAAGTCGGTTTTCGCACAGGTTTTCGATGATATGCTGCTACCCGGCAGTACTTCACCAAACCATCGGTAAGGAACTGACATCAAAGCTTTTGCTCAATAAACAAAATTATTAAATAGGAAGCAACGGAAAATCAATGGCCTGAATGAAAGTCTGAAAATGTTCCACCATTCTTCGGCTAAAAGAAGAATCTTACAATCAATTTAATCGGGTGTGCAAAGCACTATTTTACTTCCCGCAGTTTTTCTGTAAACTAGCTGCTGAGCTTTGCATTAATTATTAAAAATGAATGTAATTTGTTTATAATAGGCTGTTTGTAATTGAACGAAAAAAGTTACCTTGTAATCATATTGTGCTAGCTGTTTGCTGTAGAATGGTTGTAATTCATCAACCGCCTAAATACATTGAACACGAAATAGTTAGTCATGCATAATAATAATGTGTTGGTAACTTGTAATTCAGCGTCTCTGGCAAACGACTTCAAATAACGACACTTAGGTGGAAAATCTATGTTGCACTTAATTTTTTTCCTCAGGTAATTTTTGTTTGTTTTTTTTTGGGTATGGTAATGCCTACTAATGAAGTTGAAACAAAAGAAAATGAAAATTACCTGAGATGAAAAAATTAACTACAACATCTGCAAGAGGAAAATTTGCCTTAAATATAATCGACACCTGTTCAGTAACAGATTATGATCGAAACCCCTGGGTTAAAATAAAAGTTTTGTAAGTTTCGTCGGCATAACACTGCATACATAAAGAAAACGATTAATAGCAAAAAAGGCTTTAGTTGTCCACTGTTTGTCAATATTTTTCACCGGCCGACCAGTTAGAGGCATAAATACTCGACCCGTGAGGTTACCATGGAAGCAACAGAGAATGATCTAAGGGAGCGAATCCCTGTGCCCCATGACAATTTTTTTAAATCTATTTAAAGTTCGCGCGCGTGCTGCGAAGGTTATTTTTGTCTGTTGTTTCCGTGACCCGCGCGGTCTACTTTCACGTGAACGTGACACGTTTCGCCGCCAAACATTTGAAGTTTGACAGCCATTATAGTAATTAGCGCCAGAAGCTGATACTAATCGGCTCCTGTTGTTGACATGTTTTTGATCAGCGCTCTCCGCTCATAATTTAGGAATGAATTTCATTTACAAAGGTATTGCAGTATTGGAGTCTAAATTTCACTTTGAGAGTAAAGATTGAGATTTTCTAACGGCTGGTAGCCTCATTTAAAGTAACGAATATTGAATTCTGACAGACTGTGAAAGCCAGAGGCAAAGGTTATCACGCGGAAAACGAAACCTTTAATGAGTGGTTTTCCAGGAATATTTTTCGTTCAGAAACAGTACATTTGCTTTTAAGAATTATTCTTGAGAGTTTCTTCTTAACGTCTAATACTTGCGATGAATATTTCCCTTTACAAACACAAATCAGGTCAGATGCTTCAAGCTGTTAAACAGTCGCTAACCTGGGTGCCAGAGAGTTTTGATGCGCGGTTTCCGATTTTGGTCAATTCTTTTATAGTGAGCGGTGTGCCCACATTTGTCTAACGTCCTCTCACAATTCAAATGTTTGGCGGCCGAAAATTCATGTCTGAACCCACTTTGAACCTATTTTCTCGTTACGTGTCCACGGTTCGATCCAAACGACGGTATCACAGCTCGCGGGTGTGCGTGGATGTCGCCGGAAGAGACAGTTGTCGTTTTTTGCAATAGGATGTTGGTTGTTTATATATTGATGCAGCGAAGACCTCAATGATAAGCAGTTTTCGCCGAGTCGGAATCGCTTTCTCCGGCGAACTCCCACAAGCCAGGACCGCTTTGCTCTTCGTCAGCTACTCTGGCCAGATTATTCCACGTATAAATCTTTTGACTCGTCGCCAAAAGTAATACCAAGTTTGCACGTCATATCGCTTGCTGTGCGTGATCGGCAGTGAAATGAATTACCCGCCAAGCTTAAAATTACATGACGCCACTCTAACTGACCAATAAGGTGGCGTCCTTAAAGTAACCACGCAGTGTGACACAGGACCAAGAATAGATTGAAAATAAATTTCATGGGAAGGGGGTCATGTATGGGGGATTCGCTCTCTTAGATCATTCTCTCTTGCATGGAAGTAAAGCCGCCTGCTGAGCAAGGTGTACCTTTTTAATAGGCCGTTTCCAATTTCTCGACAAAGACTGGCGCTTAGTGTGTATGTAAATGCGTTTATATAATTATTCACTTGATAAATAAAATGCAGTACTACCAACGAATTGAAACCTAGCAAGACAGGAAGATGAGAAATCAGAATCCAGACCCCGTGAAGTCAGCATAAAACACATCAGCTGTGGTGGTGGGTATGTGCCTCGTTTTTCAATCCATTTTTCTGGTGTCCTGAATATCTCCCTATCTCCTGTTTATGGCAGATAATCCTACTTTATGTTATATGACTTTAAATCATACTTAAAAGCGAGTCCATTATTAAATGAAACCATTATTACTCAAATCGTTTAGTACGTATCCAAAGTAGTTCAGTGGGTACTACTGCCTTTCCCGATCATCCATTTTCTATCGCAGCATTTTCAGTAATATTACTTGAAAAGCCGATCTGGTAGGTCATGGATTCCACTACGAGTTACACAGTTATTCAGTGAGTTTTCAGCGCTACTACTGACGCTGGATGAGGGGATCGTCGATGTCTTGTTGCTAGGAGACTGATGAAAAAGTCGAGGAACTCGCAGATAGTTAACAGGCTGCATCCCAAGAACAAACCCATGCTACCTCCAATATCACCTGATAAATCAAAAATGAATAATTACATCGGTTGGTCTTTAAGTGCCCAACTTATCTAATTTGCTGATATCTGCAGTTTATGGAAGCATAGATCATAGGTGCCAGACTTCGTTTATTCCACATTATTTCTACATATTTGCTCAATAACTACATTTCCTCGGAGACCTTGTTTAGAAAATGAAGAGGTTCATCTTCATCATCTTCAATTGAAGCCGAAAATTCCACCAAATGGGGGTATCTTTGATAAAGTTAAGTATCAGTTTTCGTTCACTGAGAACAGTCGTTTGCTACGCGGACAATAACTTACCGACTTTGTTAGCTAACACATTAAAAGTTTAGGAAGGAAAATAAAGAGACTCTGCAATTGTTTACCAAATAAGGTGTTGCTATCATATGCTGGCTTCTGTTCTTGCATCTCATAACTAAGTGACTTGAATCCCACTTGTAAAAGTACAAGGTTATCCCTGTGAAAAGAAAGTGTCGAAAACAACATATTTACACTCCGGGAGGAGGGGTAGGTGGATTCCCTATTCACATATTGTGACAAAATGGGATCCCAGTCGGATGAAGTGGTTACGCCGAAATGCGACGTCAAAAGTGGCACGAGGCCGAGCCTGGCTTTTTAGCCAAAATTCACACTTTTTGGCAAAAACTGAGAGTGCTACCAAAAGTCAAAACGTGATAAATCATAAACTATATATTTTTCTACTTTGATAAATCTGAAATTTCAGTTAAATCCAAGATGGCTGCCATTTTGACCACCATCTTGAATACGAATGACAGAGTTTCAGAGGAGGACTATCTATAAATCTATAATTATATCTGTAAGCCGCCAGCTTAAAACGCCCTCTCTAATAATCCCGTATATAAAGTTAAAAGTATGAATAAAAGTTAAGTAGCTTCCTCGGCTTTCTGCAACGGCAGCCAGGTTTTCCGTAACTTAAAAACCTAAATAGGCCGCCATTTAAGCCAGCCTTCGTTGTAACACACTCTTCCTCAAGTACCCGATTGCCAAATATACTTCTTGCTTGATTTAGGGTGTTGTTTTTGGGTGAGCGTTGTTTTTAACCTACAAGATTTAGCTATGAAAGGCAATTTCCATTTTAAGGATGACTAGTAGGCATTGAAAACACGTTACCTTTGGTATTGTAAGTCACGTGTGTAGCCGCGCAGCTGTAGAACTCTAGCTGTGCCAGGACTGGGAAACTTTGAATAGGACACCTCAGTGTAATATTTAGTCTGATTACAAGGCACTTCACACTCACAGGACTGGATATCTAAGTAATCTGATAGTAATATGCTCTGATTATTAGATTGAAAACTTTAATCATGATAAACTACGTGTATATAAATGTGTATATAAATCTTAAAATAGTCGAGACATTGTTCTTTTTCGTTTTTTCAACATTTGCTGATATCTTATTCTATATTCCGCTGAAGCTATTGAAGAAATTTACACGGCATCGTTTCTCTGCTAAACAATGATATTATCTCTTACGGCATGTCGCTTCCTTAGAAAAGTTGAATTAAAGGACAAGTACTAGTGCAAGTGCACTCGCGCCTTCTCCTACTTGCAATTTCTACTTGGGAAATAACAGAAGCTTCTGGAACTGACACGATGAGATGATCCGTTGTTTTATTTTTTGAGCTTCATGAAAAAAAACATGATAAATGTAATTACGCTTCGTTTTTCCTGTATACTCTTCACATGAAACTGTTCTGTGTGACAAATACTGTGGCATATATACATAACATATCGAAAATTCTATCTGATCAGTGAGTGGATCAGTTGACAACGAAATGATTGGGTTAAAAGCTTTTAAAGTGCACAGATATACAGTATTTCTTTAACTAGAAAAAGAGGGTCGATACGTGAGAACTTAAAGACGAAAAAACTAAAATAAAATAAAATAAGACAGTGTGACAGTAGTTTCCACAGTTACCTCTTACCTGAAACATTTGAAACACAGACTAATTCCCCTTCGGTTACGCATGCGTGCATCTGAGAGACCTTTTCTAAGAGCAAAGTATTGAAATAAGAATTACCGTAAATAAGATGAATTTATTAGTAGGGTCACTTCTAGGGAAAAAGGAAAATCATGCTTCCCTCTCCCTTGCTGTTCCTTCCAATAGCCAGATATGCCAGGAATATGAAGCACTCCATTGCACCTTTTTCCTTTATTCTCAAATTGCCTTGAAAGTTTGAGAATAAAACAACTGAAATTATATAGACTTCTAGGAGTTCCAGGAATAGCTTATTGCCCCCCCCCCGCCCCCTCGTTTTGATTGTTTTACAACCTTAACATGATAATCGGTTTTGGCATTACAACCAAATGTATTGCTTCTACTTTTAAAACGCCTATTTTAATTGAAAGTGTTCTTAATAAACCCCTTTGCTCTTTAAGTCTTAATTGCTACTACCTTTGTAGCCAGAGGGCCGGCAATTACAATCCTTGATGACCATTTCAGCCTCACACTCGAAAAGACAGCCCGCTATTGTGTAAGTATGGAACGTTGCCAAAGTTCTCTTGCTGCAGTTGGTAGAATACGGCTTTTCCAGATTCTTGTACTATAAATAACAATGATCTGTTGGTGAGTTTTCAAAGTCAGACCATCCATTACACATTCCCAGTCATAGTTGTTGAAACGCTTGCCGTTTTTTCTCCTCCACCCCTTTCATGTTGATTTTGCAGACGTTTATGCCCGAACAAACCCTTGAAACCAACATCGAGGAAGGAAAAGCAAGCAATACATGTGGAACAAACAATACATCGTGGAATCACTTAGTTTACCTTGTGTTTTCCGGAAGTGTTTCAACAAATTATGACCAGAATTGCAGTTTCACTTATTTTGAAAATTAGAGAAAAATAAAGTTAAAGACATTTAACTGGTCGGTTTAATGAGTGTCTAGCTATTTTTTGTTCTTTCAGTTCCTTTAACTCGTAGAAAAATTGCATAAACTAACATTGATGAGCTCAAAAAAGCATAAAAGCTGCGACTTATTAGGAGGGGCTTAGATCTGTGGCATGCTCTGGGTTATTTTTTCTTGAGTGAAATACTTTTAGAACTGGTTAGAGAAAGCAACAAAGAACAAACATCCAGAACAAATCATCAACTCCAAGCAAATGGAGAACGTTACCCTTTTCTCCGAAAGCGCAATAACAGCATGTTGTCCTGGACCTACGTTGATTCCCTCCCATTCATCAACGAATTCGCCCTGCTTGTGAATTATCACCTTGAATCCTTCTGAAAACTTTCCATAACTATATTCTTCTGTCTTTGCATCAAGAATGACAGAAAATCCAAACGAAACACCAGCACTGTTCACCCTCTTTATTTTGCCATTTTTCCCTGAGTTAAAGGTGTAGCACTTGCTCCATTGGGTTACCAAGGGAGCAAAATCTTTTGCTGAACAATTTGCAACAACATCAAACTCGCACTTGGGTCCAACGAGGGATTCTATCTCTTGACTGTAGTAACGATGTAAATTTTCTCTGTCGATATAATGAGCAGATTCTTGCATTGTATTCAACAGTTCTTCTCTATATTGACTCGTGCAGTTTGGTAGAGCGGGGCGTAAAGTTTCATATTCAGGCAAAACACAAAGTAGCGACCATCCACAAGGTTGATCACCTCGTACTTTTGAGGTCACAGCACATGAGCTAATATTTAACCCGCTGGAAACAAACAATGGGTTGTCATCTGTCATGTACAGCTTACTTGCAGCAAACTCGTTCAGAGGGCAGACTGTAACAGCTGGAAAATCCATTTCTTTAACATGTTTTCTGCTTACTACAGTGTTAATTGGTCGGTCGTAATATTTTTTGAACGCTGTGTAAACTGTAAAAATGTAGTATCCTCCAGAAGCAAGCAGTAACACCACCCAAATTAAGCTAATTAAAATATGACGCTTCTTAAAAACATATCTGACACCATGTAGTGTTGTGTTGTCGACGAACTCCTGCCACATTCCTGATGAGTCCTCCTATTCCCAGCTTTTATTTTCTGAATCAATTTAAGATTGGCATTTCAGTGCAGTGTCATGGGTTAGTTATCATAATCATCGTAATTATAAACTACACTAAATTACTGTGTACATCATTGCAACTGGTTGTCATCCCCCTTTCAATGAAATAACTCGGTTTTTCAAAAAACGAATTTAGGTTGACTTGGAAGTCCTTCCCTAAGAAATATTCAAAACAAAATTCGTTCTTAAGAATCTATCCGCGACTAGTAAAAAAAATTCATGAAACTATTCAGTACCGAAATTAAACTTTCGCCACTTATTAATACATTTATAGAATAACCATCGGGCCCCAGGGCCCAGTTGCATAAAACCAGCACTTAAGTGCCCTCTTAAGTAGGTCACTTACGAATCCGTTATGGGTACACTTACGGGTGTTGCATGGAACACACTTAGCACTCTCGTAAGTTTCTGTTTTACGTGGTAACTTACGGGCTCCCTTAAGGGCACACTTAAGTTTGATATAGTACTTTTAATTATTAATTTGACTCGCTCTATTTTTTTGAATTAAGTTAACCCTTGGTGAGTGTAAAGAAAGTGTCAAGTCGTTTCGAACACCTTTAAGCCTCTGATTCAAATAAAGTTTACATGACATCGTTATTTTACTTCAATATCCACTGGAAGTGTTTGTTGTCCTTCTTTTTTCTTAACGACGGCTTTAAACTGTCCATCAGAGGTTAACAAAGCGCATTAGAACGGAATTACGTAAAGAAAAAACATTTTTTTGTTCACTTCTCAGTAAAAGATCTCGTTAACTTTGGTAAAAACAGTAAGGATACGGGACCTACATAGGTCTCGTAAATTTGCGTGCTATTTTTCCCGTAAAAAAAGTTTTATGCAACACCCGCAATTTCTGTTGCATAAAAGACACTTAAGTGAACACTTACGAAAATCGTAAGTGCAACCACTTAAGTGAATTCCCTAAGTGGACCACTTAGGTGAATTCCCTAAGTGGACCACTTAAGTGATTTAATGCAACTCGCGTAAGTTACGCGTGCACGTACGTATACCTGTAGTATCAACCTGTGCTTGGGAATTCTGCTTAGTATTGCTGTCCAATCACTCTATTTCAGGGACTGTAACAGCCTCTCAATCTTTACTCAAACTCACTGTGGACCGTCTCAAAGTTTGGAACCGAACTGTAGTTCGAGTTGAATAGCCAAAAGGTTATAAATAACTGGCTAAACTAGATGAAAGAAAAATACAAGGTCGACTAAACCGTGGAGAAACTTGATGTGATAGCCAATATTCCCAAAGACATTATGACATTTATCTTCTGCAGAAATATTTGTAAGACCTTGAAGAGGAAACAAGACATTTGTTTTAAAAATATTGGCAATCATATCAATTTTACTAACTGTGAAATCAGCCTCGCTTCTTTTTTGGGTCTTTTGGATACGAAGCTTGAACAGTGATGTTGATCATTGTATTATAAGCTTAGAAGGTAAAAGTCTCAGGCTCGCGATGGATTTGATAGACTACCATGATCGACTGTATCACTTACAGTTTGCAGTTTTCAGACCACAGGTTTCTCTGCGTAGTCACTGATTCACCGAGTGATGGACATCCACGGCCTCTGCTTGAACGGAATTTATATCTAGCTAACTCAGTGAAAACAAACAGTCAATTGAATAATGGTTGACGTCACCTTTCCACTTTAGAGAAATGTTTATGTATTCAAGCCACCGTCTTAAGACTCCGTTGAAACTGAACCGATCTTTCTTATCCGAGATTATTATTTATAACTTGTTTTAAGGCAAATAATTTCATCTAAGTTTTTTGCTTACCATATTTTGAGGTAAAATCGCTGCTTAACTGACCATTAATTATTTAAACTTTAAAGTTTGGGGTTTAGAATAGACGGCTTGTACACCCTGAGGTGCTATCGTGCTGGCTTCATCTATGGGTGAACATTTTTCTTTTGTTTTAGTCAGTGTTTGTCTCATCACCTGACAGATGATTTAAACTTCAAAAAGGTTTGTTATTTATGTTGAAAAAAAAAATGAAATTCAATCTCCGAAATTCAATGTCCGAGATACATGGTGATATTTCACGGTGAAGTCAGAAAGGAGGCATGATTGTTTAGACGGTTGTTATTTCGCCTGTTTAACAATTTATTCTTCTGGTTGCAAATTTATGACCCTCCAAGAAGGTCTTGGTAGTCTTGTCTTCGAACACATTCTTGGAAACACGCTTGAAGGCAATTTGTTGTTGTGTGTTATTGTATTATTACCTTAACTAATTAGAGGGACTTTTCTCATAAAATTGCAGGGTAATTTTTTTTATTTATTTTGTGCTCCAAATATAGTTTCCTTCTTTTTGATGTTTTTTACTTTATTGTTAATCAAAATTCATCTTTGTTTATCCAGTAGAGGTAGTTTGCCGATGTGGTAAGGAACATATTGCTCAAGCTAAAGGTTGACAGAAATCCATGGAAAAATAATTGAAGAGTCGGTAAATACATACATACATACATACATACATACATACGTTTATTGAGACTCCCTTTACAGGGCTTTTCAGTCACAATAGGTTAGCTATTTAACAAGTAAGTAGATACAAGAAAGAATTATTAAACTAGTCAACTAATTTTTAGTACTAAAATGATGAACGTCATTTTAAGAAGTCTCTTCTTAAAAATTCGGCAGTATGCTACTTCCTTCATGTCTTTGGGTAGTTTGTTCAAACAAGTAGGCCCCTCTAAAGGCGAAAGATCGCTGCCCAGTTTTTAATCTGCATCTCAGTAGATTCAGGTCTTTTTTGTATCGTGTATTTCTGTCGTGATGAGCTTGTCTACGTGTAAATTTTTGACTAAGGTAGTCTGGTGCTCGACCATTTAGGCCCTTATAGACCATAACAGAAACATTTAAAAGTAGTTTATCAGCAATAGGAAGCCATCTAAGTGACTTCGATTTCTCAGAGATGTGATCATAAGTTCGGAGCCCAAGAACTATCCTGCCAGCAAAGTTCTGAACTAATTGCAATGTTTTTACCTTTGTTTTCGAGGTATTGCTCCATACGGTGGAACAATAAAACAATTTACTGAAAAAAAAAGAAATAATTAGTAAAAGTGACGTCTTTGAAAAGATGTGTCTTAATCAAAGTTTTAGAAACAAAGACATTTTCCCCATTAGGAATTTAATTTGGACGGGCAAACTGTTCCACAGCTTTGCTATCGCAGGAAAAAAGGTGCAAGTCTAGACATGGGAACCCAAAGTCTGGTTTAGCCTCTTTCCAGTCTCTCCCGTGTGTCCAAATCAGCCACACATGTCTAGAAAACTGGACTGTATTGGCCCTTAAGATAGTTACAGTTTATCCAAAAACTGAGTGCTGTATACTACTCAACCCATTTTGGGCGCTAACAGGTCATTTTTATTTAAAAATGTTTTACTCCGTGACGGTCAATACTTTGACAGGCATCAGACGGTGAAACAACCCTTTAGTGCTAAATAGTTGTTCATCAGGCCCCAGTTGGTCAAAAGATGGATAGCGCTATCCGATGGATAAATCTCTATTCAGTGGATAACACAACTGGTTTCCCAAATACTTATCTGCTGGATAAATATTTGAACAACCGGGGCTAGTTCTGTATGATTTTACTTTCTACCTTGGGAAATTATTTGGTCTAGTGACTGTACTTAAAATAAGACGGTCGTGATTCGTACGAGTTTTTCTTTCATGATTACAAAGCTGGTCTTTTCAAAACAATCTATTTCCGAGCACAAGCTATGCAAGGATCAAAAAGCTAGTCAGTCTGAATTGTTTCTTAATTCTGAAAAATTTTCTTTTCTCACAGAAAACGTGTTTTGTTTAATGCCTTAAGTTAGGCAGGATGAGTTGAATTAAATAATTGGCGTCTTCGTGCTGCCAACAAACCGATAAAAAAGTCGAAGAATTCACAAATAGTCAGCAGGCTACAACCAAGGAATAATCCCATGTTGCCTCCAATCTCACCTGAAAAAGAAATAGTAATTTTGATAAATATTGCGGATATTATTTGACAGGTAGTGCAACTGGAAATGGAGATGAGTGGAGGATGAGATAACATTAGATTAAGCTTGAGTGCTAGGATAAATATGAAGAGTGGTTAGCTTTTTCCTTATGCTGAGCTTCGAAAACAGATGAAAATGAAGATGGTTTTACCAAACAATGAATTGCTGTCATAAGCTGGTTGCTGTTCCTGCATCTCGTAACTCAATGACTTGAATCCCACTTGCAGAAGCACGAGATTATCCCTGAAAAAAAAAAACATTGTCTAATTCATGAGGTAAAAACTAAAGGCTACGACGCGAGCTGCGTTTATATAATTTCCCGCAAATTAAAAATGTCTCTAACCGGTCCTATACTGCTTGCGCGCCCATTTCAGATGGATAACATTTGTCATCTTTGTTCATTACCTTTGGTACTGTATGTTAGGATAGTAACCAGTCGTCATAAGGGATTCTGCAGTGCCAGGATCTGGAAACTTCGAATACGACACCTCGGTAGTATACTTAGTCTGGGAGCAAGGAACTTGGCATCCGCAGAACTCCTCGTCTAACACAGCTACATAGTCAAAGATAAAGGTTGGTCAATTCTACTGTGACGATACAATTCTCACTGCCAGTACATTTTGTTTAGAATATGTGCACTCAGCTATGGGTGAGTCGAAAGGCTGGCAAATACTGGCTTATTGACGATTTTTTACATCTAACGAACGAGATTAACTTTTGAAAAGAAGGAAAACACGTGAGCTCCGGAAGACTCTGTTTCGAGGTCGAACTCAAGCATGAACTCTCGTATCCCTTTTTTAATCGTTTTCTGGATCTTGCTTTTGCAAGTGTAAATGCAGTTTGGGCAAGCGCTGTTATTGCTTGTAAATAATGTTCAATAACATGACTTTCAATAGCTTACACAATCATTGGCTTTTTTGTGCTTCTTAAAAAACAGTTTGAGTCTAACAATATCTTGAAACATTTCCCGCCTTTATATGTTCTCCTAATCAATGCCTACTCACCATCTACCTGCTGAACACAATTTAGTTCTGTTGTTGATCCACAAGTATGAGCTTGGGGAGCACCTTATAATAAGGACAATACACAACATAAACAGCAGCTTCTTCAAGTAAAGAGTTTAGAAATGTGTAGAATTAATGATAGGGCCAAATAAAGATCATGTGTATGCATGTGATAGTGCAGCTTTGATTTATTTCGAAAGGTATAAGAATGACTGAGGACCTGTCCACATTTTTTCGAAACAAACAAACAAACAAGATGAAACAACAACAAAAAAAGAAAACAAAAGCAAAAACCAGCGTTGGTGGATAAGTCCCTAAACAGTACTCGGTTTGGGCTAAATGGGGACAGTTTTTATTGCAATTTTATTGGTTGGCCAAACTCACAAGTTCAAAATCTTATTAGCTAGGTAAAGACGATCACCTGTTTTTTTAAAAAAGGGCCAAACGAGATGCGTGAAATTTTCTTACATCCAGTACATAATGGGTGTGATTTGGGGGTCAGTTTACCGAAAGGGCTATGGAAATTTGATTAAAAAAGAGGTTTTTCGTAGAAAGTGGGAAAGCAAAGCCATCAGCTACGAAGGACCTGATTTGCAAATTATTTGGAATCCAGGGGAAAATAATGATATCCTTATACCTCTGTATCCGGGGGGTCTACACCCGCACGTTTTGATCGTGTTTTCAGCTCCACACTCATACATGCATCCTTCAGATGTATACGTTTTGAACGTTTTTAATGTTCTCGTGCTGCAGTTTGTATGATATGGCTTCTCCAAGTTCTTAAACTGAAAAAATGTGTTGTGTTAATAAGGTTTACAAAATGGATTTGGAGGAGATCTGTTTTTTCTTGCGTCCGCGAAGTCGTGTTTTTCTTTTAATGGGAATAGCGAGGACATGGATCGTTTTTCAAGGAAAATACTGTTGAGCAGGGCTAACTATTAAAATGAACAATTGGACGTTCATAGCATTTAATTTCTTAATGAATTGATCAAGGTTTAACATGGGAACCCATCACGTTGCAAGCCAAACGTTTCTTCTTTCCTTCTCTACTCAGCTCAAGTGTTTCAATGGGCACAGAGGAACCTCGATATAACAAACCTCTATATAACGAAGTCGTCGGTATAACGAACTTTTATTGATAAAACGAAACCTCCTTATAGGGAACATATTTTGCCAGTCCCTTGGCCCTTCGTTATATCGAGGTTCCACTGTACAGGGGACATGTTGTTGTTGGTGACCCTGTGATGAATTAACGTCCCCTCCCACCCCCTCCTGTCACTCATGCTACTGAAACCAGGATCAGCTTCGGGTCGTTCATTCTATTTTTTCTTCAGGACTAATACGGACAGTCACCAGCATTTTTTTTGGTCTGCAGTTTACTAATTCACGTTAAAACGGCATAAGATCATTGAACAAAAAAAAAAAAAAAATGGGGACTGTTTACAGTAAAAACAAAAAGTGCCCGAACACGACTGTAGACATTCCCGAGAATTAATCACCCATGGGTAAGAGTCCAGGATGTTGTGGCCATTTACAGTTTATCTGACTCTTAAAACACACGTTCAATAAAAATATATCATCACAATGGATTACTCAGTATTTTACCCTTTTCTCTGAGAGAGCTATCACAACATGCTGTCCTGGTCCTACGTTGATTCCGTCCCATTGATCGACGTACTCGCCCTGCCCATGAATCAACACCTTGAATCCCTCTGAGAACTTTCCTCGAGTATATTCGCGTACATTTGCGTCGAGAATAAAAGCCAACCCCGATGAAACTCCGCCAGCGTCCACTTTTCTAATTGGTTTGCCATCAACTCCTGAATTGAAGGTGTAGCACATTCCCCAATCCGTTACCATGGGAACAAAGTCGTTCAATGTGCAAGGTGTGTTTTGCCAACCAAAGTTACAGCGTGGTCCGGCGAGAGAACCTAAGTTTTGGCTATAGTGCATATACAAGACCTCAAGGTCCGGACGATGAGAACTGTTCTGAATAACATTTAAAAGATCTTGTCTATACTCCTGGGTACAGTTGGGGATAACTAATGCGTCGTTTATATCCTCGGTAAAAACACAACAGCAAATTAGAGACAATCCACAGGGACGATTGCCTCGCACACTTGCTGTCACAGCGCATGAGCTGATATTTAATCCGCTGGATGCAAAAAGTGGGTTGTCATCAGTCATCAAAACTTTACTCTTTTCAAAAAGGTTAAGAGAGCAGATTGTTACAGCAGGGAAGTCAATTTCTTTAACAATTTTTCTGCTTATTACGGTGTTAATTGGACGATCGAAGAATTTATTGAACGCTCTGTAAACTGTAAAAATGTAATATCCTCCAGAGGTCAGCAGTAACACAAGCCAGATTAAGCGCACGAGAATGTGACGTTTCATGAATACGTAGCGGATACCATGCAGTGTTGTGTTATCAACAAACTCCCGCCACATCTCTGCTGAAGACTTACTTCCTTTCCAGACGTTACTCTGGGAAATATCACCCTCTGATAGTTTTGACATTGCTATCTCGTTCATCTTCTCTGGTATTGGCAGTTTCTATTGGCCTTGCATCAACAATGTGGTTATTTATTTTCTGTTGTGAGGTAGTAAATTGTATTAGTGTGGAACCTTTTTAGGTTTTATAACTACAAGGGTCGCAGTGAGCTGCGTATGCAAAAGGGTCTCATCACACTTTCGTTAATTCATAAATATATTGTTTAATCTGTGATCTGTCGGTCGTGCAGTCATGCACATTGTTACTTCGGTGAAGCGTGAAGAAAAGGATTTGCGACGCTCAGAATGTCCCAAAGTTGATATTTTTGGGACAAGATTGGGCACGCAAAATCTGTTGGTTTTTCGGTTTTATTCGCCTGTTTGACGAAGTGAGAGCCGAATCAGTTCGAGATATCTCGAGATCACTTCGATTTCTTTGATTTAAAGGGGTACATCATTACCTGGGTGATGATGGATAATTGATGCGTGATAATAATAATAGCGCTCGGTTTGTCACGATAAGTCAGTCATTCGCTCTTCGCTCGCGGTCTACAGCTTTCGTTTAGTTCAGAACAATCTCATCCCTCTCAATGGCTCACCAACATTCTTCTAGCCAACCCATCCGACGCTCCACAAGTCAAAAGTCATCAAAGAAAGATGCTGCTTTTCTTTCCCCCGAGCGGCCGGGACAGTGGCAAGATTTTAAATTCCCAGATGAAGAATTCCTTCAGCCGGTGATTACCAAGCAGGGTGCGGCCGAGGCGGAAAAGAGCTCGCCTTCTGCTCATCGTGCTTCTTCAGCTACCGCAGACCATATTCGTCCTTCTAG